AAACAGGTTCAAATCCTGTTTTAAACCTTAATTTTAAACTTAAGGACTTCTCAAAACCAAGTGTTGGATTGATTTCGTTTCTACATTTTTCAAAGATAAAGACATTTGAAAATGTTCAAATGTGAGCACTTGTAATTTGCATTCTATTTCGCTCTATTACTTAGGTCCTTTGTTTTCTGAAGGGTTGTAGATACTCAGTGAGTGTTTTGAGCTGGTTTTCCCCCTGAGAATTCTATCGCTTTCTGTGTATCCTTTTCTTGCAAGCAGTTATTCATGCAATGGCTGTGGAAGATACTGAATGTCAGTCAACTCACGAATAAAATGTAGGCTATGATGTCAGCCCAATAGCATAGTTCATCCACTCAACGAGGCACCAGGGGGAGAATGCTCTCGGGTTCAGTTTTCAGACGTGAGGCCATTGCTGGGCATGCTGGCTTCGTAGGCAGCTGTGCCGTCACCACTGTGAATGCTGCTGCTGCCACCACAGGAGAGCAGTGCTTGGCCAGTGTCTCAGCTGTGGTTTGCAGCTACGGAAATGAAATCTTGTCAACACGTGCAGACTGTGTCAGGTTTTCCAGCGATCAGCCAGTGTGCCAGCCTAGTCATTGGGCTTGAGAACTTCAACTCCACAGAGCACTGAGTAACACTCTGTGATCTAGGCCTTCTCTCCCTCCACACAGACACAAACACCCGAGGGGGAGCACAGAGGCTGAAAGGGGAAGAAGAGGGTCTCCAGACCTAATCCACGAAGGTCCCAGAGAAACTTGATAAGCTTCTTGATTCCACAACTATGAATGGCTCTCTGATCATAAAAAGAGTTGGGTCCTCTATTTTCAGGGTCCCTTACCCCTTTTACAGTCCTGGTTAAGCACTGACAAATTGTGCCCAACTCCTGTCTTCCACTGTTGCCTGATAATTAAACTGTCTACGTCATTCAAGCCATGTTCTTCCTGGCCTTGGATGATCTGCCTCTAAGGTACAGATATCTGTTGTGATTTATAATACATTAATTTTTTTACTAATTTGATGAGCACTGGAAGAAAGTTTTATGTTTTCTAAAATTATGAGCCTGTACCTGTATGATCAGTACTCTGTATATCTAAGTAGTTCTCAGAATAACCTTTGTCAAGTTTTGAATGACTGGTTGTATTTGATACGATCAAATACTGTAATTGTGGTTGGTTGTTGTTTTAGGTTGTTCTTTTGGTTAATTTTTTGGAGACAGGCTCTTGCTGTGGCCTAGGTTGGAGTGCAGTGGTGTCATCATAGCTCCCAGCAGCCTCAAACTCCCAGGCTCAAACAATCCTGCTGCCTCAGCCTCCCTAGTAATTGGGACTACAGGCTTATGCTACCGCACCTGGCTAATTTTTGTATTTTTTGTAGAGAAAGGGTCTCACCGTGTTGTCCAGGCTGATCTTGAACTCCTGGCCTCAAGCAACCCTGCTGCCTCGGCCTCCCAAAGCGCTGGGATTATAGGCATGAGCTACCACGCCTGGCCTAATTGTGTTTTAATGCTGACCAAAGGTGGCAGCATACCCGAGTCTATTGTCAGGACACCATTGTGCCTCATATTCAATGTAATGTGTCCGGTACTGTCCACCCATTAGTGTAGGTGAACACTGAAAGGAAGTTGGGTGATCAAAACGCTTGACAAAATGACTAGTTACTTGCAAATGTGCTTCCCCTTCCATTCATGTTCTTCCTAACGTCTTTGCTTAAAAACAGATCTTCCATTCACAGCAACTGCTGCTGCTCTTTCCCTTGGGTTTGTATCCCGTGCAGCACCCAGACACCTCATAGATTGCTCTAAATAAGTGGACATGCCTAGGGGAGGCTGATGGTCACAACTGCTTTGAGTAATGCTTGTAGTGTGATGTTCTTGCTGCTTAGGAAAGTTAATAGGCAATGAGGAGAGCATTAATTGGGGAGATTATTTTCCTACCTTCAAGCAATATGACATAAATAGAGCTGTTTGCTTTTTTGGCCATATAGTAAATGGGATAGAAAATATAAATAGTTCATGTTTGTGTTTATGTTTGTTTTAACAGTTGGTGATTGATGTCTATGATATTGTAATATAATAAGAAATGTCTCTGTCCCTGGTTTCTGGCAGAGAGCTCCTAAAATCCTTGGAATTTCCTAAGTAACAGGGGTGATAGGAGCATCTTCTGTTACATATTTAGTCTTCATGCACAGTTCTTGATGCAAGAGCTTCTTTCTAAGATCCTTAGACTCTCCAGAGTGATAAGAGTGGCTTTTGTATGCTAATGAGGTGACAGGTAGCTGGGAGACCCTAGATGGTTCCAGCATAGGGGCTGGTCCCCATAAGGACAAGCCATGTTGATTTTAGCGAGGGGGGCGTGTACCTAGAAAGGGCGTGGAAGCTCTGTGCTCCTTTCCCCATGCCTTGCCCTTTGTATCTCTTCCATTTGGCTGTTCCCAGGTTGTATCCTTTATAATAAACCAGTGATAGTAAATAAAGTGCCTTCCTGAGTTCTGTGAGCCATTCTAGCAAATTTATCAAGCCTGAGGAGGGGACTGTAGAAACTCCACGACTGTATAACCCATCAGTCAGAAGTATGGGAGGCCTAAGACTAGCAGTTGGCATCTGAAGTGAGGGCAGTCTTATGGGATGGAGCCCTTTAATTCGTAGGATCTGACACTAACTCCAGGCACATGGTGTCAGAATTGAATTGTGGCACACCTAGCTGGTGTCCCGAAAGTTGGAGAACTGGCAGGTGTGAGGGAAAAGCCCACGTGTTTGGTGTCAGGAGCGTTGGGAGTAGAAACAGGTCAGAGCGACATACATCCATTTTGCGTGTTCCCCTTGTGGTAGCGGGTACCTTCACACATCAACACGGAAGTGTGATTTCTGGTCATAGAGGGAACAGCTGACAGGGCTGCCATCCCGGTGCATGAGGCCACCTGAAATGTCTAGTGGACATCAGGAGACGCTTCGGAGATGTCAGCAGTGTTGGTTTGCAGACCAATTTGTTGCAAATATATATACATCATTCAAAGATGCCATTCACCCCAAAAATGTATTGTGTTTGATACATGTGTCTCATATCTGTGATGCATTTTTTGTTTGTTTGTTTTAAGCCAAAAAAGGGGGCTGTTGATGTTTTCATTACTCTTTTTTACTCTTTGGAGCACTCCCTTGGGAGAAAAGAAAGATACTACTGCTAGAGATTTTCCAACAGACGTGGACCATCACATTCCAGAAGTGTCAACCTTTGAACTGGACAACTGTTCTAACCCTTTTCTCCTCTCAGTTGTCCTTTTCTTGGGATTCTACTTCTTGAATATGGACCACCTTAAATGCAGACAAGCACTGATGTTAGCCTTCCTGGAAGAATGTTAGGGTATGCAGGCATTTTGGTGCTAGCAGATGCACAGGTCAGCTCCTTGGTTATTTTTGTTCCTTGTAAAGCACAGTGGGAACATACTATTCTCAATAAACTATAAGTTATCAGGGGAAAGATCTGTGTGTTAGAGCATAATTGATTCAGAGTATCACAGAACATCTTAATGTCAGAAATGTGCATATATTTTTTCAGGCTCATTTAATTTTCCTTTTGCTTTGTGTAACAGAATCTTACATTAGCTGCTTCAGCTCTCAATGGGATATCAGTGGAGCTCTGTGACCCTATGGCCCCAAACAAACAAAAAACATATTTCTGTATCCAATGAAGGATGACATTCATATCTAACAGGGATAAGAAAATATTTTTAAAAGCCATTTTGCAGTTTAGACTCTTCAAGTGTATCTGACTGCTCTGCTCTGCTGGCAGCACAAGGCTAAGCGGAAAACAAGGATGTCAGGGCCCCGTTGCCTACCTCCTCTTCAGGCCTCGCAGTTTTATCGCAAGGAGGAGACACCATGTGCACTAAACTTGAACCTCAGTAAGAGACAGGTTCTAGCCATCCTCACTACAGCCATCATCATCTCTCACTGGAAAATTGGCTTCTCCTCCCACTATTTGAAAAATACACATAGATAAATTTTTTTAGCATATTGACAACCTTTAAGCGGGCTCTTAATCATCCTAAGCTTGGTTTTATCTGTGGTTTAAAACAAAAATCAAAATGGGAGCTTGAAATCAAAATGAAAACCTGATTTGAATGTAAGGTAAACCAAGAAAAATAGTCTTAAAAAAGTCACTTCAGGTATTCACTTTCTCTTCATAAAGTCCCCTTTTTTTAAATTGGCTCACTTTCCAGATAAAAAAATATATAGATGGTTATAAAAAGAATCTGCTTTAAAAATCTAGGAAAAAAATTCATTTTTGATTAAATTTGGCAAGCTGGATATATACATTTCGTCATATATATCTTGGTCTCTACCAGTTGTAATCATTTACTTTTATTAAAGTAACAAGGTATCATTTAATTTGTGACTTTCTTAGAACTCATAGAATGAGATATGGTATTATATTTGTGCAAAGATTACTATATTTTAAATTCATAATTTTGAAATTTCCCTTTGGGTCATTCGTAATAAATATCTTATAGGTCTAATTTTTATTATGTAGGTAGGCTTCATTAAAGCTATTTAAAATTTGTTCCTGATGGAGTCAGTCCCTCCAAATAAGTCAATCTTTCCTTGAAATAAATTTTGCCATTAACTTACTTTTTTAAAAAACTAAGGAATGTCAAGGAATTTTATATTTCTATGAATGAGATTTATTAACATGTCTTAATTATATAAGCCAACTATTATTTTCTGAGTATTATGTGAATGTATTTAAATACTTTAGTTATCAAATTATGACTATTAACAAAAATATGCTGAGTAAACTTTAGTGTTCACCAAATGGGCAGAAATCACAAAATAATTTTCTTTTTACAAGTTGTATGGTGCCAGGCTATATCCTCCTGTTTATTAGGAAATAGAAGATGTTTAATAAAACTTAATTGTATCTCCTCTGGAATTGTATAAATTGTATGTATCCTGCAGTTACTGATAAACGCCAATGGTGATTATTTCCTTTTTACAGTGCTCCAGCTGCGGCTGCAACAGAGGAGGACGAGAGAACAGCTAGTGGACCAGGGCATCATGCCACGTAAGATGTACACCGTCACTGTGGTGTCCCACGTGATGTAACGAGATGGGCGTGTCCAAAAGGAACCTGTATCCCACTCTAATTCAGTTGTTATCCATTGAACCAACAGTTGCCAAATAAATTTATGAGGAAAAATCAGGCATCAGCATTGCCAGCCTCAGAGAATCATTTAGAATATATTTTAAAAACCAGATGCAGTTTAAAATTAAGATGGACTTGAATTTTATATTATGCAAAGAACACCTTTATACCGTAATTAGGCTAAATCCATTAGTTTTTCAAACTTTAACATTTTAGTTTTGAAATGATTGTAGTAGTCTACTAATGGATCTGACATTAGACTTGCAAAAGTAACATGATAAAATCAATTCATAATTTTGTTCTACTTAAACTTAATTCGGGTTATTTTTGGTGCTATATTGTGGTCTTTATACAGTAATGTATCTCAGTTATAGACAGATAAACATTCCATTTATAATTAATAAAGTCTTTTTAGCTCAAGTACAGATATAAACCAAGTATATCTAGGGTGGCTTGTTCCTTTAAAAGATTTTTGATTACTTTTAGAATATTTTCTAAGTTGTTTCCAAGATGTTTTGTTTACCTTTAACCACCAAGTTTAGAGGTAATTTTATATTTTAGAGGGGAAGAGTGGCTTTTTTATGTAGGCTATTAGGATTATTTATCTGCATTTTGTCTGAAAATTGACTTCTCCAAGAAGTAACTTATCCAGTTATAAAATACTAGAAATTACAAAATGAAATTATACTTTCCAGTCTTCTGAATCGTTTCTAGCCCATAAACCATTTCTTGGCTTATGATAAGAAATGACTTTTCTCTACAGTAGATATTTTTCCCAGTTAAACTTTTTTTTCCTGGACTACTATTAATTATCTAAATATTTTAAATCTAGCATTGTGATAGTCAAAAGCTCCTTTGATAATCTGCCAGATTTCTCCACCACCACATTCCTGACTGTGAACCAATCAATCAAACTGGATCAAATTATGATGTTTCAGACACCACTGCTAGGCCAGCTCTAATCTGCTTTGGGGAGCTGGTCCCTGGCCAAACCTGACTGGGCTGGGCTCCTAGGAGTCTCTGAGTGCCTCAAGTACTAGAGCTGAAAATGATGCTGTAGGAGATGATTGGTCAAGTCTTGGAGATGACAGCCCAAGGAATCCTAGTCCTGTATATCCCATCCACTCATCTCACTGCCCGTGTTTGTAAGTGCAGGGGTTATCAGAAAATAGTGAACATACATGAAAAGGACAGTGCAAAGATAACTGATAGAAATAGTCGTAGGTGATGTTTTAATAAACACTACTAACCCTCACAATGGGATTCTAGAATATTTGATATGCTGGCAGTTAGCATATTAAAGAGTCACTGTCTTTAGAGTGAGTCGCCTTGTGGTATGGTAGAAAGAGCATGAACTTTTCAAATTCAAGAACCTAGATTTAACTACCACTTTGACCACCATCTAGCTGTATGACCTCAAGGATTCACTTTGAGCCTTCCTCTGTACTGGGGCTTACACCTACCTTGCAGGGTTGTAGTGAAGACCAACAGGAATATAATTATGATCGACCACAGAGCATAGAGCTAAACCCCATTGTGGGTTCTCAATAGATGATACTTCAGATCACTCCTGAGCACGTTTGGGCTTTTTCCAGTAGCTTATATGGCCCTTAAGAGCAGAGATGAGTTAAGGAACCATCAAATATTTCCCTCGGGACTAGTGGTTGCAATAGTCTGACCTGATGTAACTCTATTTAAAATGTCTACTTGTTTTGTTTGTGAAATACATAATTTTTATTCTGTAACATTTGAGGTTTCAAATTTTGCAGATCTCATGAAGGAACTAGTAAATAAATGGCACAGTAGATGTGAACTAATAGGATTATCAACATAGTATACCGTAACTGTGGGCTGAATGAAGTATGAACTCCTCTATACCGTGAAAACAATTGCTTTTCCCCTCACAGCTTTGAAGAGCCCAGCGGCATTCCATGAACAGATAAAAAGCTTGGAACGAGCCAGAGTAAGAAATTTTACTTTAAAATGTTTTACTTCTCTCCCTCTCTCCTTTATTCTAAAGTTCCTGTGGACAAGTAGCAGTCTTATTCCTAAATATGTCAGTAGCGAAAACGTAGTGTATTTTCAGGATACATGGCATAGAGAGTATTTACTTGGGGGTAGTTTGATCTTAGAGGTTTGTAAAAAATACATGACATTCAAATTTTGTTCTTTTAAAACCAGTAACTAGGTTTGTACATAAAGGAAGAGTTACACTTCTTCACGTTCTTGCTTTCAGAGCATAACAATGGTTTTTAGAGATACAATAGGGGAGTAATTATGTCATTTGTTACCCCTGCAGAAAGACAGCCAAGTGAAGGCTAACACCAGATCCTTAGGTGTTTCCCTACTGGGTCTGTGTTACCTGTGACCACGAGTAGGAGAATTTGGCTAAATCAGAGAATGTTGCTACATTCAACTTTGCTTTATTCCTTGAGATGGCTCTATCATAGTTGCACATGTGTTGGTGTTTATTATTTTCTTTAAAAATGCCACTATGGGCCGGGCGCTGTGGCTCACGCCTGTAATCCTAGCTCTTGGGAGGCCAAGGCGGGAGGATTGCTCAAGGTCAGGAGTTCAAAACCAGCCTGAGCAAGAGCGAGACCCCGTCTCTACTATAAATAGAAAGAAATTAATTGGCCAACTGATATATATATAAAAAATTAGCCGGGCATGGTGGTGCATGCCTGTAGTCCCAGCTACTCGGGAGGCTGAGGCAGAAGGATCACTCAAGCCCAGGAGTTTGAGGTTGCTGTGAGCTAGGCTGATGCCACGGCACTCACTCTAGCCTGGACAACAAAGTGAGACTCTATCTCAAAAAAAAAAAAAAAATGCCACTATGAACCTGGTGTGGTGGCTCATGCCTGTAATCTTAACATTCTGCAAGGCCGAGGTGGGAGGATCCCTTGAGCTCAGGAGTTCAAGACGAGCCTAAGCAAGAGTGAGACCCTGTCTCTACAAAAATAGAAAAATTAGCCAGGCGTGATAGCATATACCAGTAGTCCCAGCTACTTGGGAGGCTAAGGCAGAAGGATCGCTTGAGCCCAGGAGTTTGAGATTACAGTGAGCTATCATGCTGCCAGTACATTCTAGCCTGGGCAACAGAGTGAGACCCTGTCTTTTAAGAAAGGGACCATTATACATTCATTCTTTTTGTTTCATTTGTTTTTAGAAAAATTTTTATCATGCAATATGAAAATAAGCATATTCCAAAAATTTAGGAAAAATTTCCCAAGATGTAATAATGATCTCTTAGAGTCTTATAAAATATAAAACCCCTTTTAAAGTCCTATTGAATTGAGTTGAGTACAGTTCTAATTAAGAAAATATGATCAAGGATATGAACTAATGAAAGAAAATACATTAAGAAATTTGTTATCAAAGTGAATTCTTACTTGACCTAAAGTATAGATTTCATTGATTTTAGATATTAAAGTGATCTAAATCTGTTTATTAAAAAAATCAAAATCATGAGTTTTCGACATTGCCAAGTTTTAAAATAAAGCTATAAAGTGCTTACTATTAACATTACATAAAATACTATTACATATTGACATACTATTCAAATCCCTGTAAGATTTTGAAGGCTGCAGTTTAAATCATGCATTGGATAGTTTCTATAAGTACTAATTTCTATTCTTCCTCTCAAAAGACATGACATAAAGAGTATACAATTTATTTAAATGGAGCACCTTGAAAAGAATTTTAACCATGATAAATCATAAATAATTTATGAAAAGATTTTCTTCTTATCTTTCTTTAAAGACCGAAAACTTTTTGAAACACAAGATTCGGAGCCGACCAGATCGTTCTGAACTTGTCAGGATGCACATTTTAGAAGGTAAAGGTTTTATTTATTATTTTGCTTCATTTTCTCAAGAAAAGAAGTGAGAATTCTACCATTTGTTTGTTCCCATTTTAATAACTTTTTACCCCACAGGCTGGCATCCTCCAAATTGGATAGCAACATGAAGACCCAAAGCTAAAACATTGTTTTAGATACATGGGGAAGGTATGATTCTCCAAATAACCAATTAATGGACTGACTCTTCCCCACCAACTAGTACCATGGGTGCCTCTACCATACGGTTCTGGAAAAACACTTTTGGTCCAGAGGATTTCTTTATCAGTGAGGGGCATGTACCCTGCTCATTAAGTCCTGAAGGGTACCACACCCCCAAGTCTAACCCTTGATTTTCAGCTACTTGGACCTTGTTTATGTCTACCTGGTGCAAGGCCCACACCCAGCATTCTCTTTGTTGCCACTTGCAACAATCCAGGTTGATGTGACCATTATAAGTTTGCCCCGCCACCAAAATATCTGTCACTCAACCTCACCACTCACGAGGCTGGTAGGGACAGTTCCATTCCATCTTTGGCCAAACACATGGCTCAGGCCACAATGTTTTTCTGTCTAAAGAGAGAGTGTTTTTGAAAACTAACACCTCCACCATAAACTCCCAACTTACATTTTCTTTATTGTTTTGCTTCTCTAATTAAGGCAGACTAGGAGCTTGATCCTGTGATGGTTTTGGGCATGTTAAGCCTTGAGAAGATACAAAAAGAATCTGAAAACTTACCATACATTTAGAGGCAGCTGTCAGGTAGAAGGAAGATTTGTTCTTTCTGGGCCTAATGATCTGATTAGGATTAGTACTAGAATTCGGTTGACATTACAAAGTATTAGATTGTAGCTCAACATAAGGACCAATATTCTAAAGGCCAGACATGAAATTTTCAGTAGGTGATAATGGTTACTGTTACTAGAGATGCTCATTCATTGGCCAGTGTGCTAGACACCAGAGACCCAATGAGTAAACAAGGCAGATAGATGCCTGCCTTGGTAGAACTTATGTTCCAGTGGCAGAGACAGATAATAAACAAGGAAAACAAGGGAATTAGATTGTCAGAAGCACTCTGTGGGGAATAAAAATGTGGTAAAGAAATTCCAAGTATCAAGTTGGTCTGTACAACCCAAGTGGGGTCTTCTCTAATCTAAGGAATCTGAGTATGTGGTCCTCACTCCAGGGGCAGGAGGTGAGAGGTATGTGTCTTTCTCTACTTTCAATTGTGTTCTCAAAAGTCCACTAGACTAAAAAATCTTTTCCAGAACTCCAGTAGTAGGGTAGAACAGCTACCAGCTGTCAGGGATAAGTGAATCTTCCAAGTTTACTGGTAAGTAACCGAATAAATAGTTCCTTCTGTGCCTGAAAATATCTTGACCTATAAGGGATATTTTTGTTGTAACAATGCTGTCTGTTTCAGTTTGCCTTCTAACTGTAATAGACTTTATTGATATAATTAAAATCAAGGCAAATACATTTACCTATCAAAAGGAATCTTACTTGCTTTTTTAAAAAAAAGACTACCCAACAGTGTATATGAATGAACCATAAATGATGTTTTAAGGACATAATTCTCAAATTGGGAGTTTTGAAATAAGAAAGAATGTCATCTTTTATTACTTTTAAAAAACTGCCCCCCAGCTGTATTTTAACATCAAACAATTTAGATTGGATTGAAAATTTGGCGGACAAGAGTCGAAATTATTTTCTGAGGTTTAGCAGCTAAACTTCAGGTTTGTGGAGATGGGGAGGTAGTAAGACTAGAAATAGAAACATAGCAAAATGCCATGTTCCAGGCCTGGTGCGGTGCCTCACGCCTGTAATCCTAGCACTCTGGGAGGCCGAGGCGGGCGGATTGCTCGAGGTCAGGAGTTCGAAACCAGCCTGAGCAAGAGCGAGACCCCGTCTCTACTATAAATAGAAAGAAATTAATTGGCCAACTAATATATATAGAAAAAATTAGCCGGGCATGGTGGCACATGCTTGTAGTCCCAGCTACTCGGGAGGCTGAGGCAGGAGGATCACCTGAGCCCAGGAGTTTGAGGTTGCTGTGAGCAAGGCTGACGCCATGGCACTCACTATAGCCTGGGCAACAGAGTGTGAGACTCTGTCTCAAAAAAAAAAAAAAAAATGCCACGTTCCACTTATATATGGGGAAAAAAATTCCCAAAGCATATATTGGTGCTATTACTAGGATTGTGATGGGAGAGGGGGGGAAAAACAGAGGGCTATCCTACCTATATCTTAAAGAAAAGCATTGAAAAATCAACCTACAAGTGATTCTCCGCAACTATCATCTTCCTGTATGGTTAGAAGTGTTCTATCGCACCACAGTTGTTTATATAGGAAAACTATAAAATCAGCTGGACATACGTTTTATTTTAACTTATAGAAGTATACATTCATTTGCCAATATTCCAACCCAGGGCTAGCTAGAGTCCTCTCTTTGGGGAAGGCTTTAATGAATGGAATTCACATCATCACTGCACAAAGCACTGTGTACACCACCTACAGTTTCCACTTATGGTGCAACAAAAATGATAGATACTTGAAAAGCAGTCTGAGCTTACAAATCCTAGATTTTATGATCCTTTCCCCAAATTTTTTTAGTTATTAATTGCCCAAACTAATTGGACAGTGATCCTTTTTTCAATGACTCATGTTTCCAAAGCATTTAACTTAGGTTTCCAAGAAATAATTTTATTTTGAAGTTTATCATTTTCTCATAACATTTCGTTATGTACTGACAATAGCAGTCACAAGAGATATGAACTATTTCACAGGCAATCAAGGTTGACTTTTGGCAAACATATAGCCCAAACAGTGGATAGAGAAGTTGCACAGATGTATTACAGAGTAGCTCACCAGCCCCTGAGCCTTGGGCTTCAGCCAGGAACTTCTGCCTAGAACATGAATAACATCAGTTAATCCTGAGCCTACTTATGGGGAATTTCAAAAGACCCTCTATTAGGCCGGGCGCTGTGGCTCACGCCTGTAATCCTAGCTCTTGGGAGGCCGAGGCGGGCGGATTGCTCAAGGTCAGGAGTTCAAAACCAGCCTGAGCAAGAGCGAGACCCCGTCTCTACTATAAATAGAAAGAAATTAATTGGCCAACTGATATATATAAAAAAATTAGCCAGGCATGGTGGCGCATGCCTGTAGTCCCAGCTACTTGGGAGGCTGAGGCAGAAGGATCACTCGAGCCCAGGAGTTTGAGGTTGCTGTGAGCTAGGCTGACGCCACGGCACTCACTCTAGCCTGGACAACAAAGCGAGACTCTGTCTCAAAAAAAAAAAAAAAAAAAAAAAAAAAAGACCCTCTATTGTATAACTTAAGAGGCAAGCAACTTTCAGCTCAGAATTCTGGGTTATGCCACATTGTTATTTTTAATCAATTATAAACATTTTTGAGAACAATGGAAAAAAGTGTTAATGAGAGTTACCAGAAACACACATAATTGATAGAATGAAGCAAATGAAGGAGTTATGATGGTTATAGTAGTTTTATGTTGGTTATACCAACTGTATGCTTTTGTAAGTAGATGAGTTGATGCTTCTTTACAACTGTTAATTACCATGTAATTGAATGTTCCTAACAAGGATACATATTCAGAAATAAACCCAAATTCTTAATTATAATGGCTGACTGTGAGACACATAGGGATTAATCCAAGAATAGGAATTATAGCTTTTCCCATTAACCCCACAAAGGAACTTATAAAAGGCAGTGTCTCCCCTATCAGAACTTGACTTCCAATGAAGCCAAATCCAATGCTGTAAACTTCTTGAGCCATGGGCCACATCTGTCTTGTTTGTCCTTATATATCCCCAATACCTAATAAATGTGAATTTGACCCTCCTACCATAAGTCAAAAATAGCATTATACCCTTTTTGGCATGAGGTCATGTTAATTTGAATCTGTGGGCATCCGTATTGGCAAGGTAAAATTATCCGGGACTAAAAAGTATAAAATACATATTGGACCATTCTTGGTCATTTTTTCCTTCTATAAATACGTTGTGAACACATAAATATGATTAAACCAATTTAAATTCATTCAGTTGGTTTGAAATAACATTATGGAAAAGATAATAGTAATTCAAGTAACGGTTAAAACTGTGTTTCCTCTTTTAGAAACATTTGCAGAGCCGTCCCTGCAGGCTACCCAGATGAAGTTGAAAAGAGCTCGACTAGCAGACGATCTGAATGAAAAGATTGCTCAAAGACCTGGTCCTATGGAGCTGGTAGAGAAAAACATCCTTCCTGTAGACTCCAGTGTTAAGGAAGCAATTATAGGCAAGACTCTAAAAATTTACTGTTTTCGGGGAGAAAGAGAAACCTGTTAGTTTTATATAAAACAAATTTAATTAAAAGGCCAGCAGCAATCATGAGTATTATTTTTGGGGTTAACTAGAAATTTATTAACACAGTGATTCTTGTTACTATTATATTATGTATTATAAGATTTGCATCTACTAACAACAGAGATTCATATGTTCTGATTTCATTATCACGTTTTCTAAGTTAAACTTATGTTGCACTGTTTAGTTTAATATTTTTACAAACTTTTCATTATTTTTCTATCTACTTCTAGAAAATATAAAGAAAAATAGCTTGTTCAATGTTATTTCACAAAGGTGAATAGCAAATGAGTATAAAGAATGGCAATATCTGTCCATTTTATCTTGGTCTTATACTTTGTTACTGATGTTTCTCTTTTTGTTTCTGGCAAGCTTTAGCACAAAAAGAATCATTTCAAGAATAATGCTGCTTATTCAGCAAGCAATTTTGAAAAGTTAATATCTAATCTTAAAAACTGTTGTAGTTTTCATTATTCCTGGGAACTTCATATTTTGCATGAATTTAAAGCTTAGGCAATTCGTTGTCAGGAATTCTAAGTAGCATAGTCAACTATAATTCCATTCAATCCTAAAGAGATGGACCCCAAAAGGGAAGACATCAGTATAGCTGGGCTGCTCTTTAAAGTGGGAATTTACCAACAGACACCCAGGCATAGCCCCATTGTCTCATCTTTTTTAAACAGTTGGATTCTGGGTCAGAATCCAGTGTCTACGACAGCGTTGCCTCTGGCTGATATTTCTCCTAAATCTTAATTTATTGGGTAGGTCCTTCCTCCCCTTTTGTTCCTTACTGCTTGTTTTGTCCTCTAGGATGACCCACATTCTGAATTCTGCTGGTTACATTTGCATCCCCTGGTGTCACTGAAAACATTCTTGTCCCCTGTACTTCCTGTAACTGGTAGTTGGACCCAAAGGCTTGATGTAGTTCAGATCCGATTTGTTTTTTCCCAAGGATACATCATAGGCAGTGGTGTGTTCTTCCATTGGGAAGTACGTTATGTTCAATTTTTCTTAAACCAGCTTCCTAAATTTTCATAGGAAACAATGTTTATCCTTCTTTTTCATATTAAGCTTGATATTCCAAGGCCAAAAGGCCAACTTAAACCAAGAATCATTTCTTTCTTTTAGGCGTTGGAAAGGAGGACTATGCCCACACTCAGGGTGACTTCTCATTTGACGAAGACAGCAGTGATGCTCTGTCTCCAGACCAGCCCGCAAGCCAGGAATCGCAGGGGTCAGCCACGTCCCCAAGTGAGCCAAAAGTTAGTGAATCGCCATCTCCTGTGACTACCAGCACTCCAGCCCAGGTATACCTTTCTGGTTTTGATCCCTAAATAGAGAAAGTGCCTTGTTTTTTTATGTATCAAAGCAATGAAATTTCACCAGAAGAAAAAGCTGAAAATGCTGAAAAATTTAATAGGTTTTTCACCTGTAATCTAAAACACTGTTAAATTTTTGCAATAGATTCTTATATATTATTCCTATTCTACATGCATGTTTTTTTTTTTTTACAAATGGTTTTGTAACTTGCTTTTTAAAGATCTTCACATACCATAAAATTTACTTAACTATTTAAGTGTACAGTTTAGTAAAGTACATTCCCATTGTTGTGTAACAGCTCTCCAGAACTTTTTCGTCTAGCAAAACTAAAACTCTATAAACGTTAAACAGCTCCTCCTCCATTGCTCTATCTGCCAAGCCCTAGTAACCACCATTCTACTTTCTGTCTCTGAATTTTACTACTCTGGGTACCTCATGAAAGTAGGAATCATATTGTGTGTCTCTTTTTGTGACTGTCTTAGTTAGCGTAATGTTCTCAAGATGCATCCATGTTGTGACAGGATCTCCTTCCTTTTTAAGGCTGAGTAGTAGTCCACTGTGTATGTATACTCCCACTGTGTTTATTCATTAGTTGATGGACAGTGTGTTGCATCCATCTCCTGGCTATCGTGAATAATGGTGCTACAAACGTAGGTGTGCAAATAATCTCTTCAAGACTCTGCTTTCAATTCCTTTGGCTGTATATATCCAGAAGTGGGATTATTGGATCATACGGTAGTGATATTTTTAAGTTTTTTGAGGAACCTCCATAGCAGTCGTACCTCCAATAGTGCACTTGGGTTCCAGTTTCTCCTGACCCTTGCCAACAACTGTTATTTTCTATTCTTTCTGTACTAACCATTCTCATGGATGTGAAGTGATATCTCCTTGTGGCTTTGGTTTGCATTTCTCTAATGATTAGTGATATTGACCATCTTTTCATGTGCTAGGCCATTTGCCATTTGTTTATCATCTTTGGAGAAATGCCTTTTGTCCATTTTTTAATCCAGTCATTTTTGCTGTTGTAAAAGTTCTCTATATGAAATATTTTCTCCCATTCTATGCGTTGCATTTTCACTCTGTTGATTGTGTCCTTTGATGCAGTTTTTTGGTTTGATACAGCCCCTTTGTCCATTTTCGTTGCCTGTGCTTTTGGTGTCATAACCAAAAATAATCATTACCAAATTCAATGTCATGAAACTTTTGATAATTGCATTAGAAATTTACATTTCTTATTCTTTAACAAGTGTTTTTTTCTGTTGGTTTTAAAATTCCTATGCTATACATTTGTTTTTAATCTCTCATAGTATTTTTGGTTTACTGAAATTTCAAGTGTTTAGTTAGAAGTCAAAACTATTGAACAATTTAATGGGAGTGGTCAAATTCAGCAGAAAATGTTCTTGTTAAGCCTGGCATTATAGAGTTTTTGAGTTGGAAAGGAATTTAGCAATTATCTACTTTAACCCTTACATAAGAGGTGGCCTGGATTCACAGAGGTACAGAAGTTTGGGAATTAAAAATGTTTGTATATTTTCCTACAGCATTTCTTCTCATTCCTGAACATTTATTTGTTACGAACCATGTCTTTCAGCATCATTTTCTTCATTGCATTTGTCACCGTGATCTGAAATTTGTTGTCTTGATGCCTCCGCCAACTAAAATGTGAGGCTGTGAGGAAAAGGACTTTGACTCTTAGAGGACAAGAGCTATTTTGGAGAGAGAGTACGCATGTGTGTGTAACATGTATAGCACAGGGCCTGGTACAGAAAAGGTACTTAATAAACACTGAATTGAATTAGGCACCATGAGTGCAGATTGACACAGTCCTTGTAGAAGTGTCTGTTCGCCTTCCATTTGAAAGTAGAGCCTAACAGCTCGGACTTGACAGAGGTAGCGTGGCTGGCTACAATTGAGATTCTCTGTCCATGTTCACAGAGCAAGAGTGATTATGGCCCCTCAGCTTTGCTGGACCCTGGCCTGGAAGAAGGACAAGCCCATGGTCTGAGCAGACAAAAAGGAGAGCAAGGGAAACCATCCCCTCCTGTGTTCTCACATATTTGCTGTACCCTGGTTTTGAGCTTTAAAAATAGGGTAAAAAGAATGTCAAGTATGCAAGTAAATACCATTAAAAAGCAGCTCCACTTATCCTTTTGGGTGGTGGTTCTCTACCACTGTCTGAGTAGGTTAGGATGTCAGACAGATATTAGCATGGTCTTAGCTTTTAGTAACAGAATTTTTGTCACCTCAGCCATCTTCCTGTTGATGGCTTCATGACAGTTCCACCTACATGAAAGATTGTCATTCTCCTTTGCTTGTACTATACTATTTTTTTACATTACTCTTGAAAGTTGGTCTCCGGCTAAGTTTGTAAGTGAGAAACTTTAACCAGATGCAGTCCTGGCCCAGTGGGCTAACATCCCAGAATCCCTTGAAGGGAAATAGGGATAGCAGTGTTTCTTGAAGAATAAATGTGGTTGGTCTGTTTACTGCCAGTGCAGTGCGCACTAAGACTTGGGTCACTCCTGAGCTGGGGACCTCGTGCTGCTGCAGTTCTAGTTCTGCCTCTACACACAGACCATCAACAGTCAACTGGGCCAAAGGGAAAAGACCCACTTTACAGAATGTTAACAATCCCTACATATGCATTCAAGAAAAAGAACGTAGAGTCAGGGATGGCGCCACTGTAGCTTTACCTGTTAAATCATTTCTGTCCTTAAGGCATTAAGACCTCTTAATACAGGGAATTTTAAGTGGGGAATATGACAAGGATTCTTATTATACTTTTATTCATGCCATGAAAGAAGCATGTCCCTGGTAACAATGCTATATTGATGTCAAAGAAATATAATCCTTAGGTAGCACTGTAAATACCTTGTAGGTGTTTTGTTTTCATTTTTTAAAATCGACCACAGCGGGAAACATTAAAATGTTGGTAAAGTCTTTGGGATTTTTGTGTCTAGAAGTGACAATTAGGTTTTGTTTTGGCAGATTTTGTACTTTATTTTCACTGTTAACCACTTTGTCTAGGCATCTCCATGTATATAAAATATTGTCTTCCTAAATATATTAATAATTACTTTAACATTGGTAGCTCAAGGGGAAAGGGTCTTAACACATTGTTTCACATTAGATATCAGGTACCTACAAGACAGGGGCTTATCCTCAGTTTATCTTACTAACCTCATACTGAACACACAGCAGCTATTTATTGATTTAATGAATGAGCGACCATAAGAAATTATGTCTCCAATCTATTTTTTCCTGTTTTAGAATTATACCCCCAAAGATCAGTCACATCACTATTTATTAAAATAGTCCCTATAAACAATAAAAGATTGACATAAATGTCTTATCTTTTGGGTGTTCTTAGAGAAGAGTTACTGTAGACCACTCCTCAAATTGGCTGTAGTGAAGGACTAGTGTGATTTGTTTCTTAGTTTGTTTAAAGTACTGTAAGTGGTGGGGTAACATCAAATTGCTATATAATTTCCTATACTTGTGTCTTCACAGGGAAGGGTCCACAGCCCATACCTTAAAGAGCTCTGCCATAGATTTTACTTTGCTTCTTGTTTACCAGAGCCAAGATTTTTCTTTTTTTTTTTTTTTTTTAGAAACAGGGTCTTACTCTGTCGCCCAGGCTAGTCTCAAACTGCTGGCTGCCTCAGCCTCCCAAAGTGCTGGGATTACAGTGGTGAGCCCTCACTCAGCCAAGTTTTTTCATGTTGATTTATCATCATTTTGTGCTACCCATCTAATCCTATGGCTTAAACATGTTTTTCTAACTTCCCTGGTTGTTTTTTGTACTTGACCTGATATAAAGCTCAAGCCAGTGCAGGGAATTTCTTTTAGGTTCTTTAAAAGTTATATATACAGATAATTAGTTAAGAGAAAATTAGGCTTGAGATTTCTTTATGCCTTATGTCTTATGATATATAGTCTTCTTAATTCTTTTTCAGAACACACAGATACCAGAGGATTAGGTCCTACAGAGAGTACTTAAATATGAGAAACATTCTCTACCAAGAAAGAATTAACATGTTAGCACTAGGTAAAGAAAAGATTATTCAGGCACTTCTTTTGCAATCCCACAGCTAAAATGCTAATGACCTCACAGTATAAAAAAATTCTTCTTTGAAATATGTATTTGTGTGGTCTGCAAAAGACTAAAACTGCTTATCCTTGGATTTTTTTTTCTTTTTAATTCTGATCAAAGTATAGCTGGAAAGGAATTTACCAAAATATTAATGGATCACATACTGGAGCTCAATTCATTTTATGCTTAAGCAACTCCTGAACAATGGAAAGCTGTAGAAAATTAAGAACAGCCCTATGTGCACACTAGGAGCTGTTACACTGGTCCTTTTAATCTGGAGACTCTTCTCTCTCACAATTTCTTAAGCCCTATATTATAAACACCCAGGTGTTTAAGCATGATCTGACAATTTTTGTAATTTTCAAATTCTAGTAATGCTAAAAGGAACCTGGTTGGTCAGCTACTGTGTGTATTTTCAAGGAAGAAAGGCTTAGGAGACTGTGATAAACTATTTTTTTTCTCATTGTATCAAGTAACTTTCAGGTATATGATCTTTTGCCAAATAATATAGAAACCTTAGAATTAAGCTGACAAAGAGAATAAGCAAGGTCTAATAGATAAGCCACATAACATATATAGTAAATAATCCCAATTTGGCTTTTATTATAAATACATACCAGTAAAAGCCTGAATAGGGCATCAAAGACATTGACTCTAATTTCTACCCCTTCAGTTATGCTTTACATAACTTACATGTCAAGAATGCTTTCCCACCTTTAGTATTGAGATTTTGAATTGGTTTCTAGCCTTAGCTGTGAAGTTGTGTGCCATCCAAATTCTTAACTCAATTTTCCTGTGACTAATAGCAATGTGCTGCCTAAACTAGTACATTATATAAATGTTTACTGGATGATGATAAAAATAATGACCAACATTTGTTGAGCACTTACCTTGGGCCAGGCACTGAGCTACTTGCTTTACAGGTATTACCTGGGGCCGATGGCGTGAAGAAGGGGCAGCCATTTGAGCTAATGACTCGTTCTCATTAGGCCAGCAGATTGTACTGTTAAGACTCATAGTGACAACTATTATGTGTATTACTTAAAAGATATCTAACATTATTTCTTCCATTCACATAGTATACTCGAGCATCATAACTCAGTTACCAAAAATGAATAATAGTAAATCTAATACTATTCTCCTACATTTTGACCTATAATGGTTACTTAGACTAACTTGTGAATCACCAACATGGTCACAACCAAGCTTGTAACAGACATTCCATGTTATTTGGGAGAACACAATACATGACAACTTTGTAAAATAGATTGTTTAAAATAAGATGGACATTTGTTCTAAGGTTTCCTAAAGTCAGTCCACAGCATTAATGAATGAACCATCTGTGAAGTTAACCACTACAAATAACAGATTCATTAATGATGAGAGTAGGTTGGCGATACTCTGCCTGATCACCCCTTTCCTTTGTGGCAGTATTTTAATTCTAGCAGTATTGGTTATAATAGAACTATTAATTAGAAGTATTAAATAATTGTACTCACATTTTGAGATTGTATTCATATGCTTAACACGGTCTCACGAGTGATGAAGAAAAATCTCATTATAAAAGATAAAGAGGGACATTTGGTTGTTTCCAGTTTGGGGCAATTACGAATAAAGTTGCTATAAACATTCAAAAAATAAAAGATAAAGCCCATCAACAAAACAGTGGAATAGGAAGGTCCAGGCTCTTGTTCTCCCATGGAAACATTAAATAAACTACAGACTGACTAAAATAACTTTATAGGCACTCTGGAAACCAGTCAAAGATCTGTGTCAACCAGGCAAATGCTCAATTAAGAAAAAGCCACATTCAAACAGGAAACTTCACGGTGTTTTCACTCACCCTTGTCCAGCCCTCCCCAGCATGGTACAGTTGGGAGGAATCAGCTCAAATCCCAATCCCCTCCCTCACGACAGCAGGGACAGACAGAAATTATGTCCAACATTCTAGCCTACGTGTGGTTTGCCCAGGAGACTGGTTGGAAAGACATCCTATGTTCATGGAATTCTTAATATGTCAGTACTCAAAGCGATCTACAGATTCAATGCAATCCCTGTCAAAATCCCAATAATGAAAAAAAAAAAAAAAAAAGAAAAAAAAAAAATCCCAATAATGATTTTTATAGAAATAAAAAAATCTCAAGAGACACTGAAAAGCCAAAACAATTTTGAATTTTAAAAATCCAAAGTTGGGAGTCTCACACCTTCCTGAAGTCAAAACTTAACTACAAAGCTACAGTAATCAAAACTGTGGTACTGGCATAAAGGCAGACATATAAACCAATAGAACAGAACAGAGAGCCCAGAAATAAGCCCTCACATGTATGACAGTTGCCAGGGGGTGGTGGAAGAGAGGAACACGAGAAGGTCTGGAGATGACAGTGGTGATGGTTGCAGAACAATGTAAAAATGTACTTAATGCCATATGTACTTAAAAATGGTTAAAATGGTCAATTTTACGTGATATATATTTTACTATCATTAAAAAATACACTTAAAATGGGATATGTGCAAATCAAGTACCAACTGAATGTCCACTAGATTTTGTGCTACAAAATTGATTCACTTTTAATGTTTACTTATTCTCAAAATGAAATGCTTAAACTTACATATTACAGAAATAAATGGTCAGTACTAGGTGATACATTTTAACAAAACATGTTTTTGGTTTATAGTCAACTCATTCATTGTTCATTTTGTCTGTGGATTGGAATGTAGAAACAATATTTAAAGCATAATTCCATTTTGAATTTCTTGTTTGCATATTGCCATCTTAATTAAGAACCCTGGTGTATCCTAAATTTAAAACATCTTATAGATTTAAAACCTACAGTACGAAAAAGCTTTGTTTTTAGATATCCTGTCTCTATGCTTCAAGACTGCATAAATTCTAAATGAAAAAGAGGAAGTTACCTGAGAGCAATGATTGGTCTTTGGCAAGTGCGCCGTTTTCTGCAGAAGGATCCAGTGCAGACTCCTGAGTTGTTATGTGCTTTTTGATTTTTTTCTGTTGTAGCGGAACTTTCTCATGGCAATTTCTAGTAAAAGAAAAGTCCATCTTTAAGATTGAAAGTGCCTTCTTTTGAGTTTTTATTTAAAGTATAAACATCATCATTAAGCCATGTTTTTCTGACATTTTCTTTTATGATGAAAATTGAAGAACTGGAGATCATGAGACCTATACCCTGTAGTAGGAACAGTGACCGGATCCAATAAAACAAGGCAAAGTTTGCAGCTTTTTTGTTTCTTTGGGAAAATGATTCTGAATCATTTTGAAATTGAATTTTCATAGAACATAAGGTGAACTTAGGTTTAAGTTGCCACAGAGACCTATTTACATAGTATTCTTTTAAGATTTTAATTCTGTAGAACAAAATCAGATTAATTATCCCATATGGCCTGGATACTCTTTTAATCCTTTTTGGAATACTGTCATCTCACAATCACTAATATTCAGATTCTTTGATAACTTTGGCTACTAGGAACCTCACATCTAGAAATGGTCTAAGTGGAGTTTTGGAGGTTTTTGTTTTTAGTCTTTCCAAGGCACAATAAAAAGGGTGGCAAAATGTAGAAGAGTTTATGTAGAGTTAACAATCACTATATTTCCATTGGCTTATTCTCATGTTATGCTAGTAGGTTCTATGGCTTTCTGGGTAGCAAAGTCACACTGAAATACCAAAAGAGCTGATGAGATGAGAGTGTCAGTAATCAAGGCTAATGTCTGCTAGGTGCAGTATAAAAACACAGCCAAAACATTTGCATAAATATTACAACTGATGCCACATCCATGCTTCTGGGTTATTTTTCAGATTATTAACACTTACTGCTCTCAGATTCATCAGTCAGTGGGGCTGGACTGGTGAAACAGCTTGCCAGGTTAGCAGAATTCATCTGAAAGGAAATAAACGTAGTTCAAAATTCCAACATTTGATTCTGCTTCATATACCAGTTATATAACAGCCAGCGAGTGTTTTTTTTTTCCTTTTGTGAAAACCAACCCAGAGATAAGTCCCTTCATTTCTGAAAAACATGCAAAGCGAAAGGAAGACAATTCACATCATATCCAGGAAGGAAGGGATCAGCTAGCATCACCTTTCCCAGGAGGTGTGGTCGGTCAGAGGCGCGCTGAGGAGCCCAGCATCGCAGGGCTGTTGGGGGCACACGTCTGCCTGGAATGTAGGTGTTGCAGCTCTTGGATGAGTCCTTTTGTTTCTGCTTAAAAATGAAATTGAGTACAGCCATCTCTACAAAGTCAGTCTTTTATATTGTCAACACTTACTGTTACTAATTACTTCAAAGCTGAAATCAATGGAAAAAAACCTCAGAGCTGACACAGGCACGTACAATTAATGCGTAACCACACACAGCCTCAGCCGGACCGAGAATGTGACCCAGCATGAGTAAAGCCAGGAGGAATGTCTATTCGTCAATTAAACAAATATTTATTGAGTAGCTAGTATGCACAAGGCTTCATATTTCTTGCTGCTAATAGCCCTCTGAGTTTTCCGGTAATTTATTTTAAGGAGGAAAAATACAGTTTGCTATTTTTAAACCCACATACTTCAACAAGGGAACTGATTTTGCCTGTTGGAGTGATGAGTTTGAGAGTTGTTCGAGTAAGTGAAAATGATAAAGGAAGACATTTTCCTTTCCAACATAATGCTGGTAATAAGTCAGTCTAATGAGTGATCAATACACATTTGATTGGTTTATTACAATAGAAACATCTCTTTCCAGGAAGTGAATACTTAAAATCTACTTAAAGTGATTGCTAGTAAGAACTGATAAAACCTAGCAAAGCCTCCTGTAGCTTCCTTTGTTGATAGAGAAATTGAGATTCAGCAATCCTTGACTTGGGCCTGGGTGACAGAGTAGCTTCTTGTTTTAAGTAAGAGGGCGCTGTCTGTGGAACAAATCAATCTTACCGGATTATATTCCGCAGTTCTCCTGTTGCAAGAAGTGGGGGATAGAGTTAGAGAGAGTGCTCACCAGGGTTAGCAACAGGAACGTACCTTGTAAAGCACATGTAAGCCACATGGCTGGGGCAGGTGTCCAGGAAGAGATGCTGCCCGACCCCGAGTCTGGGGTGTGGCAGAGGGATTCATCAGGCTCCGTAACAAAGACTGTCACATTTAAATTAGCCAGGGACAATGTGACCTATATGGCAAGTAAACCTTATGAATACCTTATAACAGGCATCCTCAAACTACAGCCTGTGGGCCACATGCGGCCCGCCGAGGACATTTATCCGGCCCGCCAGGTGTTTTTGCCTCCGCTGCCTGTCCTGCTTAGCAGCCTGCTCATCCCAGGCCCACAGTGCGCGTGTGTGGAACGTGGGCCGCACTCTCCAACAGGCTGAGGGACAGTGAACTGGCCCCCTGTTTAAAAAGTTTGAGAACCCCTGCCTTATATTGTTTTGATCATTTTTACAAGAGTCTTGGACTTTTTTTCCTGCCCCCAAAGGGTGGTGCTGACCATTTTTCTGAGAAAACAATAGAGTTTAGTCAATGCAACCTTATTTAGCTTTAGCTGTCCATTGCTGCTGGGACAAAGACCAAGCAATTCGCTCCACTGAGGCAAAGCACGTCGCTCCAGCATCTCAGTCTCAGGCGCAATCGTGTGTTTTCCCTTTGTCTCTTTTCTACTGGACTTTTTTCTAATGAGGTCATTCTCCCGTAATTCCAGCTTTTCTGTTTTCACAGTCATTAATTTCATAGACTCGTCCCTTTTCTGCCTTTTCCACCAGTTTACTTCAGTGTCCCCGGCAGTTCCTGAATTCTTGAAAACCCCTCCGACTGCAGATCAGCCCCCCACAAGGTCCGCAGCTGCCGTCCTCCCCGCGAACACTGTGTCCTCAGCGAAGCCTGGCCCAGCACTGGTAAAGGTGGGTACCCTGGACGCGCCGGCTTGCGTGGCTTTACCTGCGACTCCGTCTGTAGCCCTGTGAACGGAGGACAGAGGCATTGATCCGAGTTACCCAGCCTGCCTTTTAGCCCGAAGCTTTGAAAGCCAAACTATGGAAGGACTTGCTAGACCAGGGCCTTTGTGTATGAAACTACCACCTACAACAAATTGTCCTGCCATCAAAGAAAAACAGCACAAAATTTGGTCTGTATGAAACTGCTAGGGCTGTGCAGAAAGGCTCTAGGAGTCATTTTATCAGCAGTTCCCAATTCCGCTGCTGCCAGCCAGGCCACTAAGACGAAACAGGAGAGAAATGGGGTATGGCAGAGTTGCTTCAGCACAGCACGTGAGATCCGTGGGGCTCACAGACAGATGTCTTTAATGGTGACACGGCTTTGGACTGTGTGTGCAAGGTCAGCTCGGTGGTATTCCAGATATGTTACACGACAGGTTAAAGGCTTCAGAGAAGCAGATATGTTTTTTGATTTAGCAGATTTGGCTACATGAAGCTCGGTTTGTTCTTCAGATAAGCCTCAGAATTATGGCACTGTTCCCTACATTTCACTTGGTTGAAATAACTCAGTTGGAATAAATCCCAAGGAAGATTAAAATTTTTAATATACAGTACATTTTTAGAGTTCTTAAAATTATGTTTAGACCGTCTAAATAAAGGGGGAGGATAATAAACTGAGGAATAGTTTAGTCGTTTCAGAGACGGCTTTTGCCAAAACTAGCAGAACACAGATTACAAACTTTTAAAACTACACATGGATGTTAGAGTTAGCTACCTCTCGCCACACCTTTGAGATGAGGAGACTGGTGCCCTGAGAAGTGTGACAAAACCAGGAAGGTCCCCACCTCCCAAATTCCAGCCTCGTCTCTCTGCAGCGCCTGTGAGAGGCAGGGGAGAGAGTGACTTTCGGATCGGCACAGTGCACGTCCTCACTCCCATCTGTGCCCTGGACCTGTGCCCATCCTCGACCCTCCTGGAGAGGAGGCTCTTGGTCCCTGTGGCCGAGCACTGTTCAGTACATTTCACCGTCTTCCGCTGCTTAGCATCGGAGCCAGAAATTCCAGAGGGCGGCAAGTAGCAACTGTGCCAGTAGAATCCGCTCTCGCCTCCTCTCCAGCATCCCCAAGCATGCACCGCAAAGAGGGTCTGGATGCCAGCCTGCCTTTCCCTGCTGGCGCGGTGGTTTTCTGTCTCTCCCGTTCTTTGAATTTCTGGCTTTTTCTCAAAGTTATCATCTGAGCACTGAAAAGTAGAAAGTGAACTTATAAATTGAGGAGAAGAAAAAAATTCAAGGAAAAGTCATCCAATTCTTAATCATAAGACGAGGTCAAGTTAAATATCTGGAAGGAAAAAGAAAGCAAATACAATTTTTAAAAAAGATGAGAGACGTACGGTCTTACATCCCATTTTCAAAGTAAAAATGTAATGTTTTTGAAAAGTTCATATGCATATTTACATTTCTCAGTATTTTAATTTTTATACTTTCCTTAGAGATAGTTTTATATTCTTCCTTATTAGAGACACTTTTTCTATTTTTAAATATTCTCCAGTTTTTTTTACTATTACATGGTTATAGTGAAGTATACTTTTCTTCCCCATTGTATATTACCACTACGAGATAATCTATGTAAGCACGTACAGCCTGTCTGCGCAGGAGCCGCAAGGTGACTGTCTGCTGAGTTTGAGTAGATAATGCCGGGCTGCGCGTCCTGCCGTACCCTAAGGGAGCCACGGTGCAGGAGAAAATGTCCTGGTCAAAGTAAATATGCAGACATCATGGCGCCCTTTTTTTTTTTTTTTTTTTTTTTGAGACAAGGTCTTGTTCTGTTGCCCAGGGTAGAATACGGTGGCCTCATCATAGCTCACTGTAACCTTGAACTTCTGGGTGCCTGCCTCAGCCTCCCAAGAAGCTGGGACTACAGAGGTGCGCACCACCACACCCGGCTAATTTTTCTATTTTGTGTAGAGACAAAGCCTTGCTCTTGCTCAGGCTTGTCATGGCTCTTGAAATGTGTTTAGCATGTTGCTTTCCAAAGCGGCTGTACCTGTTTCTAAGGTGCACTGCTTTTTAATCTCGAATCATTTAGGCACACAGGAGAATAGATTTCATGTGGTGACATCTATTTAAATGTTCTTATTTTCTTTTTCTCAAAAATAGCAAAGCCATCCCAAGAATCCAAATGACAAACACCGTAGCAAAAAGTGCAAAGATCCCAAGCCACGGGTAAAGAAGTTGAAGTACCACCAATACATTCCACCAGACCAGAAAGGGGAGAAGAACGAGCCGCAGATGGACTCCAACTACGCCCGCCTGCTCCAGCAGCAGCAACTGTTCCTGCAGCTGCAGATCCTGAGCCAGCAGAAGCAGCACTACAACTACCAGACGATCCTGCCCGCGCCATTCAAGTACGGGTGGGGCCCCTGCTGGCCGCGTGGCGTGGATTTTACTATGGTTTTTTATGAGGACCCATAAATTACTGAAGGTTGGATGTTGTGATTTATTTGTGTGCAACGATTATTTTCATTTTGTTTCTGTCCTCCAGGATAGGTTCTGAACTTTTACAAGTTAGAAATGCCTTTTCACAGTTACTCACCCAGGAAAGATTTGCCTGCTGTGTCCTCAGAGCAGTACTAGATGCCAGGAGCCAAGCATGCGGGCGTGTAAGGCCTGGCCTACGGCTAGAGAGAAGAGACAGGTGGGCGTAAAACCTGGCAGGGTCAAGGAGAGCCTTGTGGGAGAGCCAGGATGCTTATATCCGCGGAAGGGCTCAGAAGGGCCCTTCCCAGCACAGGGCAGCGACGCCAGCGCCGGGGCAGAGGAAGCAGCAGCGCCTGTGTATTGGACGGCGAGAGAAATCTCCTGAACGGAAAATGCGAGTGATTTTTAAGAAAAGCGGAAGATAAAACTGAGTAGAAGCCAGCGCGCCTGGAGATACCCGAGGTTGAGCAGAGACATTCCTTGCTGTGACAGGTGGCAGAGCGCAGTGCTGACGCAGCAGCGAGACCGAAACCCAGGAGAGAAAGTTCGGCCCTGGCACTGAGAGCACAGAGGGTGTTTCCAAAGACGGCTGAAGGTCTCGGGGACCGGCGGCTGTGGGGAAGGAAGATGTGTCCAAAGCCGGAACCCAGCCGTGAGGGACAGAAGGCAGTGAGTTCTGACAGTTCCTGAGACCAAAGTCACAGCAAGACTTCCACAGCTGATTTTAATTACATAATAAGGGAAATTTCTAGATATATACACCCAATATTTGTTTCTAAGAAACATGTAATTTCCCTGACTTTTCAGGAGAAAGTACAGTTGGCATTCAACTCTAGAAAAAGATGCAAAAGCTCATTCATTACAAGGAAAAATCGTTCTCTGTGACCCGGCCATTCGGTTTATGCTCACATGAGCTGTAGAAACTTCACTTCCGTTTTCCACACGCGTACTAGGCATCTGCCACAGGCGGCCCTATTTGTTAGGAGCGGAAAGGGATTAAAAACCCACTAAAAAGCTCCTCTGTTAAAAAATATCTTCTCATATGAGAATGATTATCAATGCTTTTTTTCCTCTTAAGATTCAAATATCTTGAAGTTTAAACCTATTAGTAATTCAGACCTTACTAAATCTAAAGAATCAGGGCACAGAGATAAAGGAGACAGGCCCGAGTGAGCTGTTGACATTGGAAGGGACCCAGGGAAGGCCACAAAGAACTGGAAGAGAATCAGAGACAAACTGCTGCTGCTTTGGCACTTGGTCCAGGCGCTGGCGGGCATCCTCCTCTGCCATTGGCCACCAATGATAATGACGGTAACGGTGGCTCAGGGCTACTTACTGTCATCCTTACAACGCACCCACCGTGCGTAACACCGCACGCCATCCTCACTGTAAGTCCAGGAGGAATTGGCTGCCATTCCCAGATGAGGAAACTGTGCAACCGAAAATCCCATAAAAGGATTTTTCGCGCCATCCATCTATGAAGCAGTCTTTTTTGTAGTGGGAGAACTTGGCTGTGTGGGCCGGCCTGGTAGATAGGAAGAGCACACCTGAGGTGTGCGGCAGCTGAACGCTTAACAATCTGTCTTTCCATCAAGGCCTCAGTTCCCCTCTGCTCCTCAAACATTCCCACCGCTACGACAGCAAAGCCCGCCTAAGGGAAATATCATACAAAAAGATCCCAGAACTAGGAGGAGAAAAGAACACTCACTTTTGGGTATTGCTTCACCACACAAAGACTGAACATGAGTCCCGTTTGATTTCCAGATCCTAAAAATGAAGACCTTGTTTTCTAACACAGTGTTCAGCTTGACCAAAATTCCAGGAAACTGAAAGTCGTCTAGTGTCCATGGCAGTGGAACTTTACCTGTGTGGTGCAGCCCTTTGATACCACAGGAGGACAAAAGCCGGAAGAGACTAGGCTCTAGTCAAACCCAGTTTGCCCGCATGCTCAAAGGCACGGAAGGTCATGGAAGGCCGTATCATCCCTCTGAACTTTAGGTCTCTCGTCTGGACAGTGATCACATTCACTTAGTCTCCGTTGACTTAAAACAGATTAACGTATTTCTGTTATTTTAAACACCAAACTGTTAATGGAGTATTGTAGAATCTCAACCAAAAAGATTCATGAATAGAATAATTACTTTAAATTGTGCGTTCAACAGGATGATATTACTCACCAGAGAGCAAAAGGTGGTTTAGGAGAGATACTACTCTTTTATGTAATAAAGCACAGACATGTATATAATAACTAGACACATGCAGTGTATCTGTGGTGTTGATACTTCAGTGGTAGGGCGATCTGGAGAAAAAATGTCTAAAAACCTCCTTGGGGGGGACAATGATGAATGAAAATTAGGTTGAGAAACATTGATTTAAAGAAAATATTTTTACAACTCTAAAAAGTTGTAAAAGTTGAATTTTTAGAAAGGAGAATAATGATACATATGATATTTGTCGTTTCATTCAAACTTCAAGAAACTTCATCTTAAAAACTATGTTTAGTTTCAACAGAATTCAGATAGGTTAAAAAGACCTCAAGATAAATGTAAAGAGTTAGCTGTTGGCCAGGTGTTATGGTTCAATCCTGTAATCCTAGCACTCTGGGAGGCCGAGGCAGGGAAATCACTTAAGCTCAGTTTGAGACCAGCCTGAGCAAGAACAAGACCCCATCTCCACAAAAAATAGACAAAATTAGCCATGCGTGGTGGTATGCACCTGTAATCTCAGCTACTCGGGAGGCTGAGGCAGGAGAATCGTTTGAGCCCAGGAGTGTGAGGTTGTTGTGAGCTATGATGACACTACTGTTCTCCAGCCTGGGCAACAGAGTGAGACTCTGTCTCAAAAAAAAAAAAAAAAAAAAAAGAAGAGTGAGCTGTTGACAGAGCCAGCATTGGCTTCCATCACAGGCTTCCTGAACCTCCTTGGAGAAAGCTCATCCAACTGGCTGTCACCCACGAGCATTGTCACATCAGATCCCTATTTCAGGAGGTGGAATTCCAAGTCTCTTTGGCTTCAGCACCAAGGCTTTGTATGTGACAATGAAGACTGAGGCTGCAATGGGATTGACTGTAGTCTACTTGGTGCTTTTTACGTCCTGTTTAAGGAATCTTTGCCTATCCAAAGGCCATAAAGATGTTGCTTTCATAATTCACACTTAGATTTTGGAGAATGATGCGAGGTAGAAGTTGATCAAGAGCCGTATTTTTTCTGAGAGAATATCCACTTGGGCACAGCCCCACTCACTGGAAGGACCACTCTTCCTCCGCTGCACTGCAGTGTCATCTCTTTGACAACACCAGGGCCACACGCGCAGATTCTCCACTCTCACCCACTTGACTGTTCTGTCCTTGCCTCAGTGCCACACCGTGTGAACCGTTGGCTTTGTAATACGCCTTGACACCTAGTGGTGTGACTCCTCCAGCTTTGCTTTTCTTCTTCAAGAATGCCATGGCCATTCTAGGTTCTTTGCATTTCCACAAAGCTTAGAACTGCCTTCTAAATTTCCACCAAACAAGCAAACAAACAAAACCTGCAGGGGATTTCATTGGGATCCAATTTAGTTGGCATCTTTACAATATTGAGTCTTCCATTCCATAACCATGGTATTTTTTTCCCTTTATAAGTTAGTGAAAGTGGTAATAGAAGCAGTGTCAAATCTAGAAATGATTATAAACTCTAATTTTCTTTTCCTTTTGAAGGCCACTCGGTGACAAAAACAACAACAGTGGGAATTCACCTTTGAACAATACCGCACCTAACACACCAAGACAGAATACACCTGCTCCTGTGAGAAAGCCAGGGCCTCTGCCTTCCAGTTTGGATGACTTAAAGGTGATAATTCCAAGTACAGCTTATTGACCTATAAATACCTCGGAAATATAACTGATGTGCCAGATTTGTCTAGCAGATGTCAGTTTTCAGTAGATGTTCAACTTTCTCAACAATAGGATAATCGTTATAGAGGTACTTTCTTTTTAAATGACCAAATAACTCTCATTTACTGAGCATGTACCTTGTGCAGACACCTTGCCAGTTCTGTTGGATTCCAGAGGCTGTGATTTTTTTCTTCCCTGCTCAATGCCAAGTGTAGGAGAAGCAGGAAAATATAACAGTTGAGAACGTGAGCTCCAGGGCCACCCTTGCTAGGTTTCTGTCCCAGCTCAGCCTTCTGTTGTGTGTGGTAGTTTGGACGAGTGCTTCAACCTGTCTGCTTTGATCGCTTCATCTGTGAAAGGGGAAGAAGAGTAATACTGACACCTCACGGGGTCACGTGAAGATTAGTTGAACGAGTAAAGCGCTTCTAACAGTGTCTTGCACGTGGCAGCTAATCAGTAAATACAGCTGTTATCATTCCTGGTAATGTATCTTTTCTTTGACGTGAAAGAGGAGTTGCCCTCTAAAACCCCTTACGTTATCGCCTCGCCAGTGCTTCAGGTGTGTAGTTAGATGTGTGTGTGTCAAAAGAAAAACAGTCCCACTTTCAGATACACAGCAACACGGAGTTGTGTGACAGCCACGGGTACCTTTCCCATCACTGAAGTGTACGGTAGAGTCGTCCGAAAGTTACAATACCAAGAGATGTGCTTTGTTTGTACTTCCAGGTATCAGAACTGAAGACAGAACTGAAGTTAAGGGGTCTGCCGGTGTCCGGCACCAAACCGGACCTCATCGAACGCCTGAAACCCTACCAGGAAGTGAGCAGCAGCAGCCTTGCTGCCGGCAGCATCGTGGCAGTGTCATCGTCAGCCATCGTCACCAGTAACCCAGAAGTGACCGTGGCGTTGCCGGTTACCACACTGCACAACGCCGTGACTAGCTCAGTCTCCACCTTCAAGGCAGAGTTGCCATCTGCCGGCGCCGCTGCCCGGGTGGAGAACGCTCATTCCCCTCTGCCCATCTCGCCGGCTCCCTCCGAACAGTCCAGCCTCAGCACCGACGACGCGAGCATGGCAGACACGTTCACCGAGATCATGACCATGATGTCTCCTTCCCAGTTCCTGTGTTCCTCTCCTTTGAGAGTGGCAAACAACGAGGACAGCCTGAGCCCCACCAGCAGCACCCTGTCAAACCTGGAACTGGACGCGGCCGAGAAGGACCGCAAGCTCCAGGAGAAAGAGAAGCAGATCGAAGAGCTGAAGAGGAAACTGGAACAAGAGCAGAAGCTGGTGGAAGTTCTGAAAATGCAGCTCGAGGTTGAAAAACGAGGGCAGCAGCAACGGCCACTGGAAGCCCAGCCCGGCGCCCCTGCTCATTCCCTCAACAAGACAGATCAGAAACACGGCAGCGTCGGTTCCTGCGTCAAAGACGAGACCTTGCTCCCTGACTGCTCCAGCTCCAGGCAGCCTGTCCCGGGGGCCAGCCACGCGGTAGCCCAGCCTGTCTCTACAGGTGGCCAGGCCCTTGTTGCCGCAAAGGCTGTAGTTATCAAGCAAGAGGTCCCCGTGGCCCAGGCGGAGCAGCAGAGCGTCGTCTCACAGTTTTACGTGAGTTCCCAGGGACAGCCGCCACCTGCCGTTGTCGCTCAGCCCCAAGCTTTACTGACCACACAAACTGCTCAGCTGCTGCTCCCGGTGTCCATCCAGGGCTCGAATGTCACCTCAGTACAGCTCCCAGTAGGCAGCCTCAAACTCCAGGTGTGGAGTGTGTCTTCTAACCACTTTGCCTTACAGCATGCATACGACGGAAACCGCTGAGGAAAGGACATAGCTGCGCTGCTTCATACATGCGCCCATAGCAGGCTTCACAGTTGCAGAACACTCGTGCATGAGTGGGAGGGTCATTCAGAAATTTAAATAGCGCTGTTTTTATATAGTAAGAACAAGCATGAGGTGCTTTTTCTATTTGTTAGCTTTTCCCTTTAATGAACATAGCATTACCCGTATAGACCTTTCCTGCATACCAGTGACATTATCCTCATGATATAGCTGCTGCTGTGAACACTGTCTACATGCAAGGCACAGCCTCAGCACTTCAGATGGCTGGTTTCACGTCATCCCACTTCCCCCAGAAGGTGCATGTGCCACAGCCCAGCGCTAGGTAGGGACACTGAGGCCTGGAAGGGGTACTCAGTAAGTTGCCCTATGGCATTTAAACCTAGGTCTTCTGACTCCAGAGTTTTTACTCTTAGGCTCATTCTTGTATTCTGCCTCCCAGATTTAGTTCTTGAAAGGCACTGTTAACATGAAGATGCTGAAACTAAGGAAAATGTGGCCATAAATTTAAGAGTGAAGATGTTAATCGAAAGAGATGATGAAACACTTATGAGCATGAAATTCCCTTTTGTGCCTATATAACCTATGTGTTTACCTGAAGTTGTTTTCATGTAATGTGCTTTTGGTAGGTTTTAACCAAACGTGGACCACGAGTAAACAGGAAACTATCTGGGCTGGTGCCTCTCAACCTTGAAACCCAAATACCTGAAACAGTACAGAGGAATAATCTGGTACCCCTGGGGTTAGGAGGCATGGCCCCAAGACCCTTTAGCATATGCAAAAAAATTTAATTCCCCTATTTTATCTTTAGGGTCTCTGTGAAATTGAAAGTCTACTCCATAGTACATCTTTAAAACTTTTTTTTTTTTGAGACAGAGTCTCGCTTTGTTGCCCAAGCTAGAGTGTTGCCCAAGCCGTGGCATCAGCCTAGCTCACAGCAACCTCAATTCTCCTGGGCTCAAGCGATCCTACTGCCTCAGCCTCCAAGTAGCTGGGACTACAGGCATGCGCCACCATGCCCGGCTAATTTTTTGTATATATATTTTTAGTTGGCCAATTAATTTATTTCTATTTATAGTAGAGACAGGGTCTCGCTCAGTCTGGTTTCGAACTCCTGCCCTCGAGCAATCCGCCCGCCTCAGCCTCCCAAAGTGCTAGGATTACAGGTGGGAACCACCACGCCTGGCTGAAACAATTTTTGGGGGGCCTCAAATAATCCATTGCTGTTGTAGGAACAAGAACCGAGTTTTATCCTTGGGCCTCAGTGTGCCCTGGCACATTGCTGGCTCTCCCCAGAGTGTGCACATACAGCTTAAAAGCAGGAATTTGGACAGTTTGGTCTCACAGGTATCTTTGTTGCTATTAAAAGTGTAACACTACCTGACTTCTTATGTGTAGAACTGCTACAGGTTATTTCTGTTTCCTTTTTACTCAAAACTTTCAAATGAAAAATCTTAGCTACTTAAACAATAAGAGCATGAAGGTAACTAGTCTGGTGCGTCTCTGGTTAGAACTGTTATGGTTCAGATTCATGTGCAGATGAATTGAAATATGTGTATGTGTATTTTGTCTTTTTTCACTTTAGATACGGTCCCTGAGTGAACAGTTGGTTCACATCTAAACTCTTGATTCTTTGATTCTGACAGTTAAATTGATTTTTTGAAATTTTCCTCCTAGACTCCACCGCAAGCAGGAATCCAGACTCAGCCCCAGATAGCAGCTGCTGCACAAATACCCACTGCCGCCCTGTCCTCAGGCTTGGCCCCGACCGCACCTCAGAAACAAGACACTTTCACACCGCACGTGCTCGGCCAGCCTCAGCCCGTCAGAAAGGTTTGTGCGTGCAAACGAGGGACAGACTGTGGCTGATGCCAACCATCCACTCAGCCAGCATCTTCGTAAAAGCTGGTCCTCAGGAAGCTCATTTATTCTTGTCTGTGACGCCTCCCGCAGAGTGAGCCTTGGCTTAGATGCCATTTGGCTGCAGATTATCCAGCTATTTGGGGCGGAGAAGGAGCTCTGTACTACCGAAAGCTAGCTCGCTTGAACTGCTAGCCGCTTTTTCAAGTTTCAAAAGTTTTTTTTTTAGTCCTCATATATTTACTGAGTTTTTAAAAAATTTCTTTTCAAATTAAACATATTATAGGGGAAAAATGTGCTCTTCCCTGGGAAATGATATTCGAAGATAAAAAAGATACTTCTACAATCTTTATCTTGTGGAAGGTTTTGATACATCTTTGTAAGATTAAGAGCCAAAAGGTCTTATCAATTCCGACTCACCACTACCTAGGTGTTTGGCCTCAAAGTAAGTTCACTTATTCCCTCTCCGTTCAGTTACCGCATCTCTACAATGAAGGTGTTGGTCTAGGGCTCAGCATCCTCACACAGGTTCCTCCCAAAAAGAATTCCAGTGTTAAATCACCCAAAGTTACCAAAATTCCTTCTTGTCCAGTAGGTGGAGCTGTGTACACATCTCTGTGTAAAAAGTCTTAGGCCTTAAAAACAGGTCTTACTATTTTAAACCTTGAAAAGTATTCATCCCAGAGTTTTAATCTTCAGCATAAGAGAACCTAGATGCTGAGGTGTGCCTGTTGACCTGCCTGGGCTAAAACACCTGTAAGAACAGACAGCACCAACCTCTCAGGTCAGCAGCCATCACGTGCCGTTTCAGAATCCCCGAGAAACGCAGTGAGAAAGGAGTTACACGTTACTGAGTTTGGGAAAGGCCAAAATATCACTTTAGTGTAGTTGTAAGCTTAGTACATGTTCAAATGTAAAGACAGTTTTGTTTGGGGGAGGAAAGAGAAAAATAAAATGAGGGGGTAAATGAGGGGTTTTTCACTTAAGTCTCAAAAGTACTAGAATTAGGGATCATTACTTCTAGTTTCAAGGAGGTAATTTTTTATGAAATATAAGGAAATTCATCTTCTTCAGATAAGAGCATATTTATAGAACTCATCACCAGGGAGGTATTGTTTGGAGTACATACAACTCTTCACACTCAGTAGTTAACGTTTATAATACAAATATTGGGGAGAGTTGTTTTTTTTTTAATATTAGTGATATTAAGTATATTAAATATTTTTATGAGCAAACCAAGTTCTGTGTAATGCAGGTACAGCATCAGCAGAATGGCCACGTGTTTGTAAAAGGACCTAAAAACGTGTGTGACCCTTGACGAGGGTTCTGAACAGAACATTTTGGAGTTCCTGGGAAGAAATTCTCATTTCTGCCCGATAGCCCCAAAAGCTGCTTCTCAGAATAGGGCAGGTTTTAAATGGGGTCTTGCAGGTATTTAAAGAAATTTTCACGAAACTAGAAAATTGACTGTGGCCACAGCATGGGTAAGGTTTTAGGTAGGGCGGAAGAGAAGCCAGGTAGGAAGAAGCTTTGCATGCCAGCCAAAGATTAGGATTTTTACCCCGAAGGCAGGGTCTGTGCTGTAAGAGTGTAACTATAGCGGCAGGCCGGTAGGGGGGCCAGGCTGGGAGGCTATGGCAGAATTCTGGGGATGGGCGGTGAGGACCTGGATGGGGAACTCGGGGAACAGAGGCATCTCCGACAAGTGTGTGTTCTGAGGGGAGAACGCAGAGGTGACTGATGGTTCCACTTACCTAAGCATAAAAACAAACGCAGAACCAAGAATTACTTCCCCTCAGAGGCTGGGGGTAGCGGGAAGAAAGGGGAAAGTTCAGTTTGGAACGCAGTAAATTTGAGATGTCCAGGAAGATGACATAATGTGGCTTTGGCACTTGGGGGGAAGGCTGGAAGTGGAGGTGGGATCACTGGCTTAACCGTGACTGTTAAAGGCGTGAGAGAGATGAGATCTGTGAGTGTAGTGAGGAGTATGAGAAATTCAGCTGTCATTTAAGAGGAAAGTTACAAACACCAAACACCGTTTTCCCAAAAGCACTGTCTGCACTGCCCTCAAGGCAAGTCACTGAGTAAAGGGACCAGTAGGCTCGAGAATGGGGGAAGGCAGAGCATGGCCTGTGGGCAAAGCCAGCCTCTGCCTGCGTTTGTAGATAGAACTGTACTGGCACGCAGCCACACCTGCTTGTGTGCATACTGCCCGGGGCTGCTTTCCTGCTGCAGGGACACAGGTGAGTGGTCACCACCACACTTTAAACTCCTGTGGCCCTTTATAGAGAAAGTTTGCTGACCCCTGCTCTAAAACGTGATTTTCTTTAGCAGGAAGAACAGAAGAACAAACTGATGGAGAAATATCTATTCCTTACAGGTTTTCACAAACTCGGCACCATCGAATACGGTCATTCCGTATCAGAGACCAGCTGCTCCCGCGGTCCAGCAGCCCTTCATTAACAAGACCTCCAACAGCGTCCTTCAGCCCCGAAACGCCCCACTTCCATCCCTGCAAAACGGACCTAACACTCCCAGCAAGGTAACCCTGTGCTGACCATATAGCAGTGACAGTGCTTACTGGGATATAAGATCATCCCCAAGCCCACTGCTTTGGGCATCATGCTAACGGAGCGAGATTGTTGGAAATACAGTGGTGCTGGCTTGTTAGGAAGGAGCTTAGCTATTGTCCCAGTGAGGATGATCCCTCCCACGGCAGGTGGCCCAATGTGCCAGCCTCACAGGTGCTTTGAAGCATCTGCTCACGAAGTCCACGCGTTGGCTCCCGCGTGCAGAACAGCAGCGTGTGGCCAGGGCAGGAGAAAGGCCGTTGCCCAGAGCTAACGTGCGCTCCTCCTCTGTTTGATACAGCCCAGTTCGCCCCCTCCGCCTCAACAGTTTGTCGTCCAGCACTCTCTGTTTGGGAGCCCAGTCACCAAGACAAAAGACCCTCCCCGCTACGAGGAGGCCATCAAGCAGACGCGCAGTGCACAGGCGCCCCTTCCAGAGGTGAGTGAGGACAGCGGTCATGGTTTGTAAGGCTTAGATTTGATGTGTCGTCCTCAAGTCTGAACCAGCCCTGCGCCGAATCCCTTGTCTGAGACTGACTTGCCTCAGTAAGAACACAAAAATAAATCATGGCTAGGAGCCTTGTACTTTACCTGGTTATTTGAAATCACAATTTCATTCGTTATGAAGAACCCCAAACAACTTGCAGCACCAGTATAACCTACAGCTGCCACTTACTCAGAAATTCAGGGTTTGTCTTTTAACTTTTCCTTTGGGGCGAGGGGATCAGTCATGTTAGGCATAGATGCGGTGTGACCAGGGCACATATTTCATACAGGTCCCTCTTTTCTAAAGCCACCATCTGTCAGGCCAGCAAACTGACACTCTTCCGCCTGGCTGACATTCAAGGCTCCCAGCCCCTAAATCCCCTCGTCCGCTTCATCTCTCTCTAGGCCTTAGCACCCTCCTCCCCCTGCAAGTGACCTTGCCTGTCCCCTGAGCAAGTGCACTTCGTCAGTAACAGACCTGAGGCTCTCCGGGCTCCACCAGACATGTGCCCACCTGGTGACCATGTGGCCTCAAGTAATACACTTACCTCTCCTCCCTGTCTCACTGATGAAGCAGGTGTAGCCGCAGCTGTGCCAAGGGATGGGAGGAAGCCAGGCTCCTACTTGTGAAAGCGTATGCCCACGGTGGGTGCCCGGTCAGTGCCCAAAACACTCTTCCTAATAGCCGTGTCTCTCTAGAGGTTTCCAAAGCTTAGAACTGAACTTGGAACTTTCAAGTTAGAACCCCAGCCTCACGGAGGATACGAGGAGTGGCCCTGCTGTCACTCCACAGGTGCTGGAGGTAGACTACAGGACAGAACGCATGCGAGCAAGACTGCCTGTTGTTACGCACAGCAGACAGCAGGAGCGTCAGCACAGTGGGCCCGGTCCCCTGCTCCTGCATTCCGCGGGGCGACTCAGCGGGGCTGTGTGTGCTGCAGGTCGCCCTGCCCTTAAGGAACCCGAGGCCGAGGGCTCAGCACTTTCTCCGGCAAGCAGCAGGTTCCCCCGGCCAGGGAGCTCCTGCAGTGGTTCCCCGAGAGAGCAGACACAGAGCTGCTCAGCCTGGCGCCCTGGGGGGACGCCCTCTCTGAGGAATACGTGCCTCTTTGTACGCACTTATGCCGAAGGAAGATAACTTCTCTAGCTGTGAAATGCTCCTTTAGCTCCAGGCTCTGCAAGCGCCCTTATCTGCAAGGGGAAAGCCAGATTTAAACCTTTGCAGTGGGCACTGAAACAAATGGTACGGGGCTAGACTGTCCTCCCCCAAGGTCCATCCAGAAGTGACATCTATTCTCTTCACAGGCAAGCTGAGACGAAGTGAATTGCCAAGAGCTTGACTGCAGCTTTTAAGAAAATTAAAACGTAGCACTCATCCTTCCAAAGCCTGGTTCTGGTGTGTAGGTTATAATGTGTACTGCTTACTCGATTTAGGTGACAACAACAAGAAAGAAAAGTCTTCCATTGTAAACTAAGATAGCTGATTGGAATCCCTGGTATTTAACGTCTGTAGGTTCATGGTTATAGACTGAGGGAGCCAGGTTTTATGTTGGTTTTTGGTATTCAAATGAGTACTATCTATAGTACCTCTTCATATGCCATTGAGCACCAAACCCCAGGAATTCTGAGGATTTTTGTTTTTTTAATATGTTTACTCAGACTTCCAATTCCACCAGTGGCTAAGTAGGCCCTGCAGCTCAATCTTCCCACAGATAACAGCCGTAAATCTTGGTCATAATACAAAAGGCAACTGCATGAGGTCACTGAAGAGTAAATAGAAACAGTCACATTCTGCTGGGGAGTCCACACTGAAAGGAGGGGCCGCATGGCACGAGTTCCCTCTTTTTTGCTGCTTCGATGCTGGGGCCAAGCTAAGCGGCAGGGTTACTAGTGGGAAAAAACATCTTTATGATGGCCCAGGAAACTGAAGACTGAGTTGAGAGCAACCAAAGGAAAAGAGCCAGAGAAGAAATCCCCAGATTCTGTCCGCCCACATCTCTGGCCAACCCCTGAGGCGTGGAACAGACTCATAGCAGCTCAGCTGAAGACTGGAGATCCAAAGTGAGATTGGAACCTCTACCCAAAAAACACTTTAATGTTAAAGTCCAAGTGCATAGTTGCTAAAACAAAACCATTCATTTGAGAAAAACAACAGAATCCACAGTCTCTGCAATGTAACAGCCATGACGTCCATTCATAGCATGCAACATATACAAAGAATCAGGAAAATGTAACCTGTTGTCAAAGGAAAAGGGCAATCAGTTGAGACCAGTCCTTAGCTACATGTTAGAATTTACAGGCAAGGATTTTAAAGTAACCACTGTAACTGTTCTCAGTGATGAAAATGAAAAGAGAGGGGATCTAGAATGTAGAAATGACTGTTTTAAAGAACTAAATGGAAATCTTCTATAGGAACTAAAACAATACAATATCTGAAATGGAAAAAAGAGTTATAGATGAACTTGGCAGAAGAAATAAAATCAGTAAACCTAGATCAGTGGGAAAAAATTAAATAAAAGATCAGTGGAACTTATCCAATCTGAATAACGTAGAGGGGAAAAATATTTTTTAAAAAGTGAACAGAAGCTCAGGGCCCTGTTGTGTAATATCAGACAGTCTAGCTTACCCAGAAGGAGAAAAAGAATGGGTGGGTAAATATTTGAAGAAATGATGGCCAAAATTTTCACAAATATAATGAAAGACAAATTTATAGCTTTGAGATGTTCAGTGAATACCTAGGTGGAAAATAGAAGGCCCAGTCACATTATAGTCCAATTATTGAAAGTCAAAGTTAAAGAAAATCTCGAAAGCATCAAGACAGAAGTAACACATTACACACAGGGCAAACACCTATTTGATTAATGTCAACCTCTCATCCAAACTATGGAAAAACTGAAAAAGAATACAACATGTTTAAGGTTTTTGAGGAGGAGGAAGTAGGAGAGATTGTCAACCCAGAATTCTTTTTTTTTTTTTTTTTTTTTTGCGACAGAGTCTCACTTTGTTGTCCAGGCTAGAGTGAGTGCCGTGGCGTCAGCCTAGCTCACAGCAACCTCAAACTCCTGGGCTTGAGTGATCCTTCTGCCTCAGCCTCCCGAGTAGCTGGGACTACAGGCATGCGCCACCATGCCCGGCTAATATTTTATATATATATCAGTTGGCCAATTAATTTCTTTCTATTTATAGTAGAGACGGAGTCTCGCTCTTGCTCAGGCTGGTTTTGAACTCCTGCCCTTGAGCAATCCGCCCGCCTCGGCCTCCCAAGAGCTAGGATTACAGGCGTGAGCCACAGCGCCCGGCCTCAACCCAGAATTCTATATGAAGTAAAAATATCCTTTAAGAATGAAAGTGAAATAAAGATATTTTCAGATAAAGAAAAATTGAGGTAATTCATCACCAAAGATAACATGTATAAATATAATACTTACAATAATTAGTAAAGGAAGGAGAAGTAAATGGATCTATACAGTTGCAAGATCTATATTTTTTATGCAATGGTATGTTAAGTTGAATTAGCCTATGAAAAGTTAAGGATGTGTATGTTAAGGATGTGTAGTGTTGTTACACTATGGTAACAACTAAAAAAATAAATAAAACAAAGTATAGTTTTTTTAAAAAAAGAAAAGTTGGAATACAAAAATATCTGATTTTTTTAAGGGCAAGAAAGAAGAACAGGGTAACAAAAAAAGGATGAATAGAAAATAATAAAATGGTAAACCCAAATTTAACCATGTCAGTAATCACAATACATACTAGTGAAATAAACAATTAAAATAAGAATTAAAATTGTCAGAATTGATTAAAAAAAGAAAGTCAGGCTCAACTATATGCAGTTTTAAGATACGTCTGCACATTCTTTGACAATCCTCCCTGGGTTGGGCTTCATGACTCACTTCTAACAGAATTGGCCGACAGGACTTCAGAGACTAAGTCACGGAAGGTGTGCCCCTTCGGCCTTGTTCTCCCTTGGTTTGCTTGCCCTGGGAGAGCCAGCTGTCGTGCCAGGTGGACGGGCCAGCAGCCATCTGGAGAGGCTCACATGAGGGGAACTGAGGCCTGCCATTGACTGCCAGCACCAACGTGTCAGTTGTGTGCATGAGCCACCTTTACGGGCATTCTCCAGCCAACATCTTGACTGTAACCCCACGAAGGACCCTCCCCCAGGCCAGAGCCACCCACCAAAACCATTCCTCAACTGCCGACCCACAGGAACTGGGACGTCACAAATTTTAAGCCACCATATTTTAGAATAACTTGTAACACAGCAAAAGGTAACTAATGCTAACGCATGCATCTACGAGAGGCGTGTTTTAAACGCAAAGACGTAGGTTGAAAGTCAAAGGCTGGGAAAAGTTACACCATGCAAACAGTAAGCATAAGAAATCTGCAGTAGTGAAAAGATTTGAACAGACATTTCCCCCAGAGAAGATAAACAGATGGCAAGTAAGTACACGGAAAGATGCTCAACATCATTAGTCACTAAGGGAATGCAAATTATAAACCACAGTGCAATACCACTACACACCTAATAGGATGTCTAAAATTAAAAAGACTGACAATATGCAGTGTTGGTGAGAATGTAAAACAACTAGAAATCTCATCCTGCGTACTGCTGGTGGGAATGTAAAATGGCGCGATCACTTTGGAAAACAATTTGCTGTTACTTAAAAAGTTAAATATATAACTATCCCGAGATCCAGTCATTCCACTCATAGGTACTTACCTAAGAGAAAAGAAAAGAAGTCTATATAAATACGTGTACACAAATGTTCACAGCAACTTTTTTTTGTAACAGCCAAAAACTAGAAGCCCAAATGTCCATCAACAAGCAAATGAAGGGCCAGCATGTGGCTTATACCTGTAATCCCAGCGCTTTGGGAGGCCAAGGTAGGAGAATAGCTTGAGGCCAGGAGTTTGAAACCATCTCTATGGGGGGAAAAAAAACTAGCTGGGCATGGTGGCATACACCTGTAGTCCCAACTACTAGAAGGCTAAGGCAGAAGGATTGCTTGAGCCCAGGAGTACGAGACTGCAGTGAGCTATGATCATGCCATTGTGCTCCACTCCAGCCTGAGTGACAAAATGACAAACCCTGCCTGTCATCTAACCAGCGGTAACACCTGGGGTAAATGGCTTCGCTTCTCAAGTGACCCGTTTTCAGAATTATCAAATGATAAATTAGAACTAGATGTTCTAGAAAGTCCCTTTAGTGCCCCCAATTGTATAATAATTCCGGGCTGACATAAAAGCAAGCTAATTTGTACTCTCCTTGATTGCAGATTTCCAGCGCACACAGTCAGCAGATGGACGACCTCTTCGACATCCTCATTAAGAGTGGAGGTAAGTCAGGTCACACCAGGCCCCGCAGGAAGTCATCTCTTAACACAAGTATGGGGAGGTTTTTCTCTAGAGCTCGTGTCTTATCTTTAGAGACTGAGAAACATATTCTTTTAATTCTAACCGAATTTACTGTTTTAAAATCTGTTCAATTTAAGGCCATTTAAACAACTTACCATGAAAGTAAAGTTGGAGGAAAAGCCATTGATTCAGCTTAAAACAGTAATATAATGTTAGATTTAGCCATAGGTAGATGCCTGCTGGAAAAGACCATCTCCAAATAGCGAAGTATAACCATATTTAAATTCCATGTTGAAAAACTTTAAAACGTGTCCCATGTGTATCAGTCATTGTAATGGAAGAAGACATTCCAACCCTGCATAAATTTTATGACAGCCACCTTACTTAGCTTGGACTCCAGTGATTTTATTAAAATTTAAAGGCAATGCTGAAGCACTTTCTATATATAATGTGAAATCTTTGATTTACAATATGTCATCTTAAAAATGGACATGAATCACAAAAAAGTCAAGAATATCTCTGCCTCAGCTTACATATCTTTAGAAATAAGCATAAAATTCATGTTTTAAAAAATTCAAATACTTTCCTGTAGGTCAAGATGATTAAAAAAATAAAAATAAAAAAAAAATAAAATAAAATAAAAAAATAAAAAATTCAAATACTATTTAGGAAAATTTTAAAGTATTCTTAATTTACCCCAGTGAAAGGAGTTTTATTTGAATTTTTAAATAGTAATCAAAATTTCTCCATTCATAGCAGGTACTATTTGATATATTGAAGTTGATGTTTTGTTCATAATGTCTGACATAGAGAATTCTAGATGTTTGACTATACTTCTACATATGCAAATAGTATTTTTTGCTAAGAACTACATTGGCCTTCCAAATAACTTAAGCTGTTATATCTACAGAACTACAGAAATTTTAAAAACAGACATTCCATGCCCTGATTTTAAGAAAATGTTTTTGCTAAACCTGGTAAAGATAAAAACACTTTTTTTTTTTTTTTTTTGAGACAAGGTCTTGCTTTGTTGCCCAGGCTAGAGTGCAGTGGGGCGATAACAGGTCACTGCAACCTCAAACTCATGGGCTCAAGCGATCCTCTTGCTTCGGCCTCCCGAGTAGCTGAAACTATGGGCACGCACCACCACACTCAGCTAATGTTTTTTTATATTTTGTGTAGAGATGGGGTCTTGCTACATTGCCCAGGCTGGACTTTTTAAATGATCAGTAAAGATAATTTTTACAGCCTAAACTTGGAAATTAAAAGTGACAAAGTTATCAAACAATTTTGAGTTATTTTCTAAGAGGGATGACTTATGTCATAAAATATCTAGTAAGTGTATCATTTCATTCATTTCATCTTACTGTGTACCAACACCAGTAATAATAAGAACCAAGATTTAAATAATTGACTATAAGACTAGTTGCTTAAATTGCACTTAAAGCTTTCAAAACAATTCTAGAGAGGACTACAGATAATGAAAAGTAACATAAACCATCCAGAAATACACTGCATACAGTGGACAATTTGTTTATAAGAATCAAATCATAAGTTCCCTCTCTCACCTACTTATGCATTCTAATCATTCAGCTTTAAGTGTTGCTGTTAATTAAATCTATTTTCCCTAGTGTATCTGCATATAAATGAAACCAATCATATCCTCATAAAAGTAAAAAAGATACTTTATTCAAATACATAGTTAAGTAAACACTGGTATCTACAGCAGATGGTCCACTAATTTGATGCTACTTGATCTGCCAAGGAATAACACCTAATTAGTGCTTATTAACACATTTGCCTAATCCTCAAGGTTTTATATACACTCAGAAAACAAGACAAAAAACAAAGAGAAAAATAAGCAGGTAATCCACCTCATCTTAAAGAAAAACGTCAAAGGAGCCATGTGATAGCTTTAATACAGACATGAAATAAGATGGCATATCTTTTCACAACTTTATACAGAAGCAAAGAACTATAGCAATTTTATACACCTTGTACGTGTGTAGAAGGTATATGTCCAAATTGGGCACACAGTCCAATATAAGGAATGTAATTAGATCTTGCGTAATATTAAGACTATACTTCCTGTCTCTGCACAAACCCAGGCTACGCATTTTGACATTCACTTTAAGGGTGTCATACTGCTATAACAGCAGATTCATGGTATGGGATAAGATATGAGCCCTATCTTAAAGCTCTAAATGACTGAGAATAAGGACCCAAAGATAAAATAAGCTAAAATCATTGATTCTTATCTACTAGATTATAACTGCTTTTGATGCGTAGTCTTACTGAAAAAGAATTGAAAGCGTATCAGAATATAATAAACTTATTTGCTTAATCTATTTAACTAAAATAATCCATCATCCTAAAGGTTATCAAGGATTGTACCTGGCCAGTAGCTTCTCTTCCTACCTTTAAGATGGACGTGTATAGAAGGAATCACAAAAAAAGTAACTGTCCTAATATTAATAAAAATTTTAAAACAGTAGTAAATCTTAAGTTACTAATTACTTCAATTGTTTTGCACAGAGATATCCCTCCCTATAAAAGAAGAGCCTTCTCCCATTTCCAAAATGAGACCAGTGACAGCCAGCATCACCACAATGCCAGTCAATACAGTGGTGTCCCGGCCACCACCCCAAGTCCAAATGGCACCACCTATATCCTTAGAACCTATGAGCAGCTTGTCTGCCAGCTTGGAGAACCAACTAGAAGCTTTCCTGGATGGCACTTTACCTTCGGCCAATGAGATTGCTCCACTACCAACCAGTAGTGAAGACAGAGAGCCCTTCTCGCTGATTGAGGATCTCCAGAATGATCTGCTGAGTCACTCAAGCGTGCTGGACCACTCGCACTCACCCATGGAGACTTCCGAGACCCAGTTTGCTGCGGGGACCCCCTGTCTGTCTCTGGACCTTTCAGACTCAAACCTGGACAACATGGAGTGGCTAGACATCACCATGCCCAACACATCGTCAGGGCTCACTCCTCTCAGCGCCACCGCGCCGAGCATGTTCTCTGCTGACTTTCTAGACCCACAAGACCTACCTTTGCCATGGGACTAAAGTCACAGATGTCTTGTCTCAGAGTTCACAAGGTGTAAGAACATGAAGAAGATTCTCAAAGGTCAGTCTTTAGAGATAGATCCATAGTTGCATTGTTGCAATTAAAGTATGTTGTCACAGAAAGAATGGATAGAAGGTCATAGCCTGGAACCCAACTTCGAAAACATTTCGTCGCATTCAGCAATGAAATTCTACGGTGAATTTCTACAATTGAATTTAGCACAGGGCCTTCTGAAAAACACACTAGACAAAGACGACTCACCTATTTCTCCAGACTTCAGTAAAGAATGAAAAGTACCTTTAGATAAAAACATAAAGAAAAGTAATGTGTGCAGGAAAACGACACTAGCATTCTCTGGTAATCAACTACATTTAAACCTGTGTGGTCACTTTAAGACCCTAAATAGAAGGCAGACGGCTTCACTCAAAAATAAGGCTGTTGAGGGGAGGGGAGGGGTCACTGCACTTAGTACTTGCTAGAGACGCCTCAGCCAGGCCACGCCACAGCAGGGGTCAAGGGCACGGGACAGCGCTGGCCGGTTTGGTGACAGCTTCCAGCTGGGGACTTTGGGTTCCATTCAGAAACCTATGTAATTTTTTTGTGATTTTTGGAATCTTAACTTTATATCTCCAAATTTAAATATAAATGGAAAAATCTTTCACCATAACCAGAAGATGTCCACAAAAAATACCATCATAAACAATGCACTGTAAAAAGTCCAGGTGTATTGATAACACTGACAACTCGCAACCCTCTGGGTTGACTGGATTAACTTTAATGTATATATTAAGCACTTGTATGTACGCTCTGACATTGTGATTTGTACAGCCTACATTGGGGTAAGGAAATGGGTATCCAGTGGTCCTACTTTTTTTTAATGATGCAAATATTTCTAGAATACTTGAGCCACATTTATTTCTGTATTTAAAGAATTACTGACTAACTTTCAGGTAACCAGACCCATCTCAAAGAACCAAGAAAAGGCTTTAGCATGAAATGTCTTTCTGAGCTGGTGAGCTAGAAGAACGAGAGGAAGGTAAGAAAGGTCTGTCATCCACCCGGGACATTCCCACGACGAGCACGGGCCGGACCGTGTCGTGTGCGCGGTGGCCGCCAGGCCCCGGCTGTCTGTCTTCCGCCGCTCATCCCTGGTCATCGTTTTACAGGCTCGTAACTGGACATCCTACCTGAGCTCTCACTATATTGTCAAACCTAAGATCGAAAAACTGGAGGTTTTATTAGTTTTTTTTTTAATATAGAAAAACAACTTATTACGTATTTGTTAAGTTGTTTCTTAAGAATTTTCTAAAATGCCAACTATCACAGGATTATTTCAAGCTAGTCATTTAGAGATATGACAAAATGTAAATAACTGAACAAAATCTACCAAAAGAGTGTGGAGGTTTTTGTTAGACACTAACCTTGTGCTCCAGCTCACCCTTGTCAGCCTTGGGGCCGGGGCCCTTCCCCTGGCCACTGACTGGCAGGCGTTCCACAGTGACAGGCAGGAGGCAGCAGACCCAGTACTTGGGAAGAATTAATTTGTGAATCGCTTCTGGGTTTGTGTTTTGCCTAAGAACTGATCTTATTTCAGATTGTTTCTTTAATAAATTTTACTACATGCGAGAAGAGTCAGCTTCCCCGGCATTGGCACTGCGGGGCGCTCTGCCCATTGGCACTCCCCGACCCAAAGGCGCTGACGTGCCCTCGAGCGCCACAGGGCGGAGGCCACCCGCCGCGCTCCGTGTAGTCCTCAGTCAGTAGCGAGTGTTTGGCGATTGGTAAACCAACGCGCGGGTACAGTAGCCCTGTCAACCAGAACGCCACCACCCGACCAAGCCCAGCAGGAGTTTGCCACACTAGATGTGACGTGACCCTCACGTCAGCCCCCGAGAGGGGCCCATCCCCAGGGCCGGGCTGTTTCCTTGGGAAGGCACTTTTACGGCAGGGCTTGGCCGTGGGCTCCGTGCTGAGGGTTTCTGTCTGGGGCTCATCAGGTCCGTACGTGGGCTCCGAGCACCGTCTTCATTCAGATTCGAATGGCGTATGAAATCGGCACCAGATGGCGGTGGGACTGTCGGGGGCAGCTGAACACCTAGTGCTGCTCACTCTTGTCAAGTAACTTTGTATTTCCATAACCCTGAGCTGTGTACATAGATAGTTTTCTAGCCCTGGGGTCCCTTTATTGCTTTTAAAAATAGGGTTTGAAGCATGCCACAGGAAGGTTGCTCTCCAAAAATACACAGTGCAGAGCAAGGAATGCTGTCTCATCAGCCTGCTCTCTTTTGACTATGAACTGCTAAAGTGCCCACTTCACAGATGTGTTCAAATCCTTATATACCAGAACTTCATTTTTAAAAAGGCGAAGAGTCTCCAGCTCTTAGCTCTCCAAGCATCCCACTTGCACCATTCCGCTCGGCCCTCGTGGCCTGGCTCGCGTGGCCAGCCGGGCACCTGGGACACAAGTGCTGCCCTCCAGCGTTTCCACCCTGTAGCTCCAGGTTAGAACGAACACATACGTGACATGACCAAAGACAGCGCTCTGTGAACAGGACCCCTCTGACCTAACTCAGTGCCCGTGATGGGCAGTGCAGTGGGGAAGGGTGTGTGTCGACTGAAGATTGTTGTTAAGGTTAGTTTCGCAGCCATTGAAGCACAAGTCAGACACCCCATTGAATTTTCAACATGCACGTGTGTAGTCTGCCAGTGGTACTGTTGTATATCATATTGCCAAGAAATAACTAACTCCCAGTCTTTTTTCCCTGTGTAATCTTGAAACACAGTGGTATCGACCTTACCTTTCTATTGTACATAGATATCAGATCATCTTATTGGTGGGATGAATAAGAAGAGCTATACCAAAGCTTCTATAAAGTCTTTGGCAGGCCAGAGGTATGTGGTCATCTTGTACATTTCAGCAGAGCATCTACTAAGAAACCTTGTAGGAAGTGTTGGTGGTTCACGTTCTAGTGTTTTTCCTGAAATGTGCAATCTACTGTATAGTATTTGCCACATATTTGTATATAGATGTATTCTGAATTCCTGGAATTTCTTGGTTAGATACTATTTGTGTTTGTTGCATATGAATATTTTTGTAATACTAAAGAGACCTTATTTAAATTTCCTTTTTAAAACCTGCATGGTTCTGTGATCCATGTAACTGGCACTTTGGGGCTTGTAAGTGCTGCTTGGGAACAGCGGCGAAGGCAAAGTCCTGGCGATGAGACAGCGCCACTGCACTGTGCAGTCCACAGACACTGAGGGATGTCTCAGGAGCATGGTACCCGTTTTGTCACCAAAGCTGACTCAGGCTTCCTCTACCCCCAACCCCACATCATTCCAGGCAGCAAAGCTTCATTCAGAGTCCTTTCAGAATTCCCAGGCTGAAACCTAGCGAAACATCTGTCCTCACAAGTGATGGGACAGTCCCTTCACTGTCCTCAAATGGGCCTGGCCTTACGAGAAGCAGTAAAGCACTTTGGCGGGGTTGAAAACATCTGGGAGAAGCCCACATTGTAGGGCCATTTCCGTGGGCCCACATGGTGGCCAGCCTCAGACCTGCACCTGGCTGGGGACTTCTTAGAGAAATTTAACGAGAATAGCTATTCATTGTCTACCAGCAGGGCGACACAGGGCAGTTTAACCAAATTCACAAATAGCTCCTCATTTTTCACTATCCCTTACTGCAAAAACAAGCTGAATACTGGCAACAGAGAATGCCCATACAAACTGTCCTGCTGCCCTGAAGGCCACAACATTCGCCCCAAATTACCAAAGGCCATTAACTGGAAGGTCAGGTTCATCAAGGGCTGTAGCTCACAAGTGCATACATGTATATTTGGAGAGCTTCCTAACTGCATTTCATCTAATCTTTTAAAGTAATTTCAGTCAAAACTGGAAAATAATTAAGATGTAATTTTTCTTTTTCTGGTTTCAAACCTTCAATAACTTGTTCGTTCAGCAATCTTTCTGGGCTACGTTTTTATTTGTGAAGTGATTCCGTCTGCATGGCAATAAGCAGGTCCGTGTTTTTCCCCCATCCACCCTTTCTAACGGCGTCTGAGGAAACACATCCTTGCAAGAGTTTCTACCTGAAATCTTTCATTAAAGGCCTGTAATTCAAAAAGCTGCACATGTTTACAGAAGAGCTCTTATCCTCCACACACACACATCGCTCTGTGAATCATTATCGGAAAACGTCACGATTTTGTGACGACGAGATGGCAATCTCAGATCTTCAAGGTGCTGTCTGGAATCAAAACATGTTCTTGGAGATATTAACACAGCTGTAGTGGTTAACAGAGCTTCATGCCAACTACTAAGACAAAGCTTTAACAAAGTTTATAGAATCACCGAAACTCGTAACAATTACCTCTCTACATTATGCTGTAAGGAATCTTGCTCATTTGGTAGGAAGAGGAGCATTTAGGAAAGGGTTTAGTATCTACCAAAAGTACTTGACCTCAAGTAACCAATAGTAAAGCAAACTTGCTTTAAAGGAACCAAAGGCATTGCCAAGTATTTGCCAAAAGGAGGCATTTTTTATTTAAAATTTGAGACTAATGAGATCTCAAAAAATCAGTCCCAAAAAGGTATTATCCATTTAAGGTTATAATTTTCACAAAGATGTAGATATTTCTCTATTGTTTTCATGTAAAATAGTATAGAGTTGTTTTGTTGGTTTAAGAATAATACATAGTAGTAATACAAAGTTTTTTCCTTTTTTCTTTTCTTGCTTGCAATAGAAATGCAACGTGATAGGTGTTTCTCTTCTTTATTTTCATTGTCACGTTATGTCTTAGCATCTCACTTTATGAAAAAAAGGAGAAAGATACCAATCTACAGAGCCCTGCTTGTTGAAGCACTCGTTTAATAAACAAATTATGGCAATCGGGGGTCCATTCATGTATTGCCTTTATGTTGTTTTTTAAAAGAAAAACCATGATGCCTTTGTATTTGCTGTTTGCACCCCTGAAATCAATTCCATATCATGTTTGAATGCCATACATTTTGCACATGTACTGTACATAGGTAATGCATACTGTATTTTTATATGTGTGCACATTTATCATCAGATCTTTTGTACATAGTGGCAGTATCGTAGCTGATCGGGAAATGTTTGATATCTCAGCAATTTTGCATTTTTGTGTCTCAAATAAAAACGTTTTGATGTACTATGATTCTTGCTATGAAGAGGAAAGACCACACCCTATGGGTCACTCAAGCCATTGCTGACCTTGGACTGGGCTGGGGTCAGACTGGGGAGGAGACACCTCCTTTAGAACACAACTCACCGCACAAAGCCACCAGGCAAGGCATATGAACTCAACAAGGTGGGTTTATAGAGCATACGGAAAGTGAGCTGCCCTGGCCCAGTCCGGGACCATGAGATACAAAATAGAAACTCGCATGTACTAGCTGAACTCGAACATGTCAAGATTTATACCAAAGTCATGTTCTTTCTTCCACAATCATAAGGAAACACTGAATGCATGACATTAGACAATAACTAGTCCCTAGTGGGTTGATGGATACACATAAGCACGTGCACAACAAAAACTGACTCAGTTTGATAGTAATCAATGCGCCACCAACGAAATTCCTCAAAGACTCAGATAATCCTTCAGTTTAGCCAAGTTTGAAAAACTATGGACATGAGGTGTTTTTACAGAGCAAATGGTGTTTAGAATTCAATGCCCTTTCAGCAAAATGATCAACCCAAAAGATGATGGGTTAAAATAGCTTTGAGGAGAACAGTGTATTTGTCTCCTTAAACAAAATGATAATGAGTCAACTTGATTGACAGCTAACGTTTATATCGATGTTTGATGCAGAAAACGGGCAGAGCATCAACTGTAGAAAGGGGAGGGAGAAAGGGAATCGATTTCCTAAATACAGCAGAGCATCCACCACCCACGACAGCGAGAGGGCAGGCTCAACGGGCCGGGTCAAAGGTGATGCTCCAAAAAGGTTAAATGTTAGTGATACGTCATGTGTCACCAGACATAAATCCTGCCCGCAGGAAGGAAACAGACCTCAGTACATGTGTGAGAGAACATGAAGCCACAGGGAGCACAGAACATGCCCCCGGAGTTGGGAGGAACGAGCCCGGGTCCCAGCAATGAGCTCTGGGGACGGCGTCAGGGGAGGAAACCCCTTGGGCGAGGTCACGTGTAATTGGAGACACTTTTCTTTTTTCTGTAACATTTTTATTTTTTAATGAATTTTGAGAGGGGAAAAAAACATAGGCCAGAGAAGTATAGAAGATAAATACAAATCGGCCAACCGCAGTGGCTCACACCTGTAATCCCAGCACTCTGGGAGGCCGAGGATCACTTGAGGTCAGGAGTTTGAAACCAGCCCGAGCAAGAGTGAGACCCCATCTCTACTAAAAATGAAAATATCAGCTGGGAGTCATCATGCACCTATAGTCCCAGCTATTCAGGAGGCTGAAAGCAGGAGGATCACTTGAGCCCAGGAGTTTGAGGTTGCTGTGAGCTATCATAATGCTACTACTGCACTCTAGCTAGGGTGACAGATGAGACTCTCTCAAAAAAAAAAAAAAAAAAAAGGAAATACAAATGAAAGCTAAGTTTTGCTAATTGTTTCTTGTTTGTGTTTGTTTTTTGTTGGGTTTTTTTTTTTTTTTTGAGACAGTCTCACTGTATTACCCAGGCTAGAGTGAGTGCCGTGGCATCAGCCTAGCTCACAGCAACCTCAATCTCCTGGGCTCAAGCAATCCTTCTGCCTCAGCCTCTCAAGTAGCTGGGACTACAGGCATGTACCACCATGCCCGGCTAATTTTTTCTATATATTTTTAGTTGGCCAATTAATGTATTTATATTTTTAGTAGAGACGGGATCTCACTCTTGCTTGGGGTTGGTTTCGAACTCCTGATCTCGAGCAATCCTCCCACCTCGGCCTCCCAGAGTGCTAGGATTACAGGCATGAACCACCATACCTGGCCTTGCTAATTGTTTTAAAACCACAACAAACGAGTACACAGACTGCCCTGTGCAAAACACAATAAAGGTTCAAAGATCAAGGTGTTCCTTTAGCAGGGCTGAAAACGTCAGTCTCTGGTATTTGGAAGTTGGGCTGCACTCCTTGTATTCAGATAGATCCCTGGGTGTGTGGCACAGTCCATGTTTGTAACCAGATTTGAGCAGAAGAATGGCCCGGGAGGAAATAAAGTGTTTGGCTTCACGGGTCACACAATTACTGAGGTTCCTCCCCCAAATGCAATGTGCCAGGTGGGACTACACTTCTCGTCAGACTCCCTGACATGGGCCACAGCATCCTTTTCTATGTTCCATTCCTCCAACACCTGAGCAGCGCACTCCACCAAGTCCTGCTGCATCTCTCTAGCATGTCCATGTTTTTTTATCACGGCCTTTCGATCACACGTGGTTTCCCGTGGAGAAGGTGCTAGCAGGGCTCAGGCCCAGCAGGAGCTGCCATAGCTACCAAAGCCATGGCACAGGAAAAACTCTGGTTGAGCCCCTACTGTGTGCTAGACAGCAGGCTAGATGCTGGAGTTTGGCTACAAGACAGAATCATTGAAGGAAATGCCAAGAACTCAGGCTGGAACGGTACGAGGAAGCTGGCTGGTCACACGAGGATCCCCAGTGTCTAAAGGGCTTTAGAATCTTCTGTAGATAATTCTGTTTTCTTTGAGGAATACAGAGGCTTAGAAAGCTTTTCAGATATCGGGCAGGGTCACCACTTTGCATCTTTATAATAATCCTCTACAGCAAATCAAGGTGAATACCAAAGCATTTGTAAACACAAACACATCCGTACACTTAGCGATGACTGAGACCGAATGATACCTAGTCCACATTACAGTAAAACACCAGCATTAAACCAAGAGAATTCTAATTTCAGGATATACGTGATGTGTCACCAACAGTTTTATGCGGTCATATAATCCTCTTGAAGGTGTCCAGGTCACACAAAGACCATCCCCTCGCTTCTCGTCCTGATAGATATGGAAGTTTCAGAAACAAACTTTGTCTTGATATATCCTATCTTTAGTGTTAATTTTTATGACGACAAGTTAATAAACCCGCATTGTATAAGTAGACGAGAAGCTGGGCTGCTCATCAGCTTTTTGAATGCCCCTTTCCTTGGGTACAGTTGGGCCTAGATCCGTCCTGCGATGACAACCCCGCGGTGGACTCCCGCTGCTGGTGCACGTACAGCAGACTCATCAAAGGCATCGGAAAAATCCCAGACCACGAGGATGCTGGCACCATCCCATCCAAAGCTGGAGCTTGGTAACGAGGAGGTGATTTTATTCAGGTTGATAGTGTTTCTCATCAGAGACTGACATAAAGGCCTCTGAGAGCTTTGATGTGTTTAGTCACCCACAGCTGGAGAGACCCCCCAGTCACACTAAGCGGAATCACGAAGCTCATCTGCACTTGAAGCTCTAGACTAAAGGGTTACGCTGGTTCTGTTGCAATACTTATTTAAGCACTAGAAAAGGTCTACGACACTGTTTAAACGAATAGCCTATTGTCTCCGCTTAGGTTGTATTTGTTAAGCAATTTGGAAAGTTGATCAAAACATCATCAGATTCACTAGAGACACAGAACCTACAATAGGGATACCAAAGTTGCTACGACCGCATGCTATTTAGCCCTTGTTCCCCCTCCTATCACACAGCACCAACAAATAGAAGGAATAGAAGGGAACTTTCTCACCCGATAAAGGTCATGTACACAAAACCCATTGTACTTACTGGTGAAAGACCACATGCTTGTCTCTGATGATCAGGAAAAAATAAGGATGTCCACTCTTGCCACTTCCATTCTATGTTGTACTAGAATTTCTACTCAGAACAATTATGTAAGAAAAAAAGGCATCCAGATTGGAAAGGAAGAAATAAAACAATCTATTTGTAGGTGACATTATCCTATATAGAGAGAATCCTGAGGAATTCCATAAAAATCTATTAGAACTAATAAATGAGCTCATTAATATCACAGGATGCAAAACTCAATCTCATTTCTATATGGTAGCAATGACTAAAACATGAATTAAAATGATTTGCAATAACATCAAAAAGAATAAAATACTTAGGAATAAATTTAACAAAAGAAGTACAAGACTTACACACTCTGAAAACTATAAAATGTTTCTGAAAGAAATTAAAGAACAAATAAGTGGAGAGACATCCCATGTCCATGGACCAGAAGACTTAATATTGTTAATATGCCAATATTCCCCCAAACTGACCTACAGGCTAAACACACTCCCTATCAAAATCCCAGCTTTCTTTGCCGAAATGGACAAGCTGATCCTAAAACACATACGTATTACAAATGCAAGGGACCTGGAGTAGCCAAAACAATCTTGGGAAAAAAAAAAAAAAAAAAAGAACAAAGTTGGAGGACTTAATGTTTCTCAATTTCAAACCTTACTGCAAAGCTTCAAACTTTACTGCATTACTTCAAAGCTTTCAAACTTTACTGCAATAAAGTGTGGTACTGGCCTAAGAATAGACATATAGATCAACAGAATAGAAGTGAGAGTCCAGAGATAAACTCTCATCTTTATAGTCAATTGATTTCTCATGAAAGTGCCAAAACAATTCAGTGGAGGGAAAGAATAGTCTTTTCAACAAACAGTGCTGGCTGGGTGCGGTGGCTCACGCCTGTAATCCTAGCACTCTGGGAGGCCGAGGCAGGCAGATTGCTTGAGGTCAGGAGTTCGAAACCAGCCTGAGCAAGAGCGAGACCCTGTCTCTACTATAAATAGAAAGAAATTAATTGGCCAACTAATATATATAGAAAAAATTATCCAGGTAGGTGGTGCATGCCTGTAGTCCCAGCCACTCGGGAGACTGAGGCAGGAGGATTGCTTGAGCCCAGAAGTTTGAGGTTGCTGTGAGCTAGGCTGACGCCATGGCACTCACTGTAGCCTGGGCAACAAAGTGAGACTGTCTCAAAAAAAAAAAAAAAAACAAAAAACAGTGCTGACACAACTGGATATCCATATGCAGAAAAATGAATTTGGACCCCCTACCCCCCCCATGCTATACAAAAAAAAACTCATAATAGATCAAATTAAGATGGCTAAAACTATAAAATTTGTAGAAGATAACAGAGCGTCTTTGTTACCTTGGGTTAGGCAAAACCTTAAATATGACACCAGAAGTATGAGCAATAAA